CTCTTCCAGGCCAGCCCTCTGCTACGGCCCGGGAGTGCAGTGGAGGATGGCCCAAATTCTTGGGCCCTGTACCCCATGGGAGACCAGGATAAGCACCTGGCTTCTGGCTTCGGATCAGCGCAATGCGCCAGCCGCAGCAGCCACTGAAGGGTGAACCAACGGTAAAGGAAGACCTTTCTCTCTGTCTCTCTCTCTCACTGTCCACTCTGTCTGTCAAAAAAAAAAAAAAAAAAAAAAAAAAAAAAAAAGTAAAACCAAGAAAAGATCTGAAAATGTGCGAGAGAAACACCAGATTATCTTTAAAGAAACTCCAATTAGATTGACAGATTTCACATCAGAAACCTAGGAGAGAATGGAGAGACACTGACCTGTTTATTTTTTAAGAAAACAACCAAACGTCCCCAGTAAGAGGCTACTGGAACTCATAAAGTTTGACAAAGTGGCAGGAGATAAAATGAACCCACAAAAACCAGTAGTATTTGTGTACACAAATAATGCCATGGCTGAGAAAGAACTTGTAATGTCAGTACCATTCATAATAGCTACAAAACAATTTAAATACCTTGAGATAAATTTAACCAAGGTGTATGTGACCTCTATAATGATGATTACAAAACATTAAGGGAAGAAACAGAAGACCGCACACACACACACACCAAAAATGGAAAAACCTCCCATGTTCATGAATTGGAACAATTAGTATCATAAAAATATCCATATTACCCAAAGCAATGTACAAATCCAGTGTAATACCAATCAAAATACTAAGCACACTCTTCTCAGATCTAGAAAAGACAACTCTAAAATGCATATGGAAACACAAGAGACCCCAAATAGCTAAAGAATCCTTAATAAAAACAAAACCAGAGGCACTGCAATACCTGATTTCAAGTCATATTTCAGGGCAGTTATAAATCAAAACAGCCTGGTATTGGCACAATAATAGACATGTTGACCAATGGAACAGAACAGAAACCCCAGAAATCAATCCATGCATCTGCAACCAACTAATCTCAACAACAAGCTAAAAATGACTCCCTAGAGAAATGACAATCTCTTCAACAAATGGTGTTGGGCAACTTGGATCTCTACATGCAGAAGTATGAAAACAAGAACCCCCTATTTTACATCCTATACCAAAATCAACTCACAACAGATCAAGGATCTAAAGCTAACACCTGAAACTACCAAATTACTAGGAGTAAACAGGGGAAGCTCTAAAGGACAAAGCCTCCTTGGATACGATCCAAGAAGCACAGGAAATAAAGGCTGAAATAGACAAATGAGATTATATCATGCTAAGAAGCTTCTGCACAGCAAAGGAAACACACAGAGACAAGGACAGAATTCAAGAAAATATTTGCAACCTCTTCATCTAATAAATGATTAAATCTAAAATATAAAAGGAGCACAAGAAATTCAAAAACTAATAAACAATCCAGTGAAGAAATGGGCCAAGAATATTTTTCAAGGGTGAGATAAAAATGAACAACAGACATGTGAAAATATGCTCAGGATCACTAGCCATCAGGGAAATGAAAATAAAAATCACAATAAGGTTCCACCTCACCCAAGTCAGAATGGCTCTCTTACAAAAATAAAAAATAGATTCTGGTGAGGATATGGAGAAAAAGATACCTTAATACACTGATGATGCAAATGTATACTAGTAAAACCATTATGGAAGACAGTACAAAGATTCCCCAAAAATCTGAAAATAGATCTACCAGGTGACCCAGCCAGCCCACTCCTGGGAATTTACCCAAAGGAAATGAAATCAGTGTATGAAAGAGTTATCTGTACTTCCATGTTTTTAGCAGCTCAAATCACAATAGCTAAGATATGGAACCAACCCACACATCCATAAGCTGATGACTGGATAAAGAAAATGTAGGGGCCAGCATTGTGCCATAGCAGGTAAAGACACTGACTGCGGTGCTGGCATCACATATGGGTGCCAATTTGTGTCTCAGCTGGTCCATTTCCAATCCAAGCCCCTGCTAATGCATGTCGGAAACACCCATGTGTGAAACATGGATGAAACTCCTGGCTTCACCTGGCCCAGCCCTGGCTATTGCAGCCATTTGGGGAGTGAACCAGAGGATGGGAGATCTGTCTCTCCCTCTCTCACTCTGTAACTGTCTTTCAAATAAACATTTTAAAATGTGGTATAGATACATGATAGAATACTACTAGCCATAAAAAAAGAATGAAATACTGTCTTTGGCAACAAAATGGATGCAACTTGAGACCATTGTGCTTAATGAAAGAGAACCAAAAAGAAAAATGTTTTCTGTGATTTGTAGCTAATATAGAGTACAAAAAAGTAATGTATATGCGTAAAATTGACATTTTGATTATTACTGTTTATAACCCTTGTCTATACTCCTGTAGAACACTGGTCTTCCTACTTTCTATTTGTTGAATTATTTAGTGAGTAGATGGTTAAGCCTGGGACTATAAAATAAATTGAAAGTATGTTATCACAAAAATCAAGAAAAAAATAAAAGAAAGAAGGAAGAGGGAGGGAGGGAAGTATAATTATGGGCTTAAAATCATATATATGAGATATATAGAATCTGTTCTCTTTATGTAGAAAAGAAGTCTCTCAAGCAATCAAAACTCAAGAAATCTTCCAGGACATATAGCACCATTTTTAACTAGGCCAGTTACAGAGAAAAAGCCTTGGTGACAAGGATTAGCATGTGGCACCAACATGTGATCCCACTCTTCCTACCAACAAATGCTCTATAATCCGTCCATTACAATCTTCACATGATCCAAAAGGGGTTTTGCACTGTTTAAAATTCGAATTTATATGGCCAACCTTGTATCTACGAGTCAATTAAAACAGAGCTCTGGAAGGGTTTTTGACCAGACACAACATACATCCTGACACACACATGTTACAAGACGGAATAAAGCAGTTTCTGCGCGTTTCTGACATCGCCAATGCCTTCTGATTACCATCAGCTGCTCAGAATCACGTCTCAGTCTTCGTAGCCCGAGCTAACCGTCACTTCTCTCAGCGCCTGCAGGAGAAACACCCGAGGTAACTCCAGCCACACTGAAGCGCCAGCGTGTTCACAAGAAAACTGCGTCTTATCGGATTTAGTTGGCACCGCGGTCACTAAGGAGTGCTCTGGGCCGCACAATCGGACCGGCGGCTTCGAGGGGACTTCGATTTTATGAGGGAGGACCCGCCTGCGCGCGCCCCCGCAGGAGCTGTGGCTCCCGCCTTGAAGAGGGAGGGCCCGAGCCAGCCGCCGCCGACACAGCCGGAGGTGACACAGCCGGAGGTGACACAGCCGGAGGTGACACAGCCGCCGCCAACACAGCCGGAGATGAAACAGCCACCGCCAACACAGCCGCGGCCGACACAGCCGGAGGTGACACAGCCGCCGCCGACACAGCCACCGCCGACACAGCCGGAGGTGACACAGCCGCCGCCGACACAGCCGGAGGTGACACAGCCGCCGCCGACACAGCCACCGCCAACACAGCCGGAAGTGACACAGCCGGAGGTGCCACAGGTCGCCCGAGCAGCCACGGCGTGGCCCGAGGGCTCTCAGACGGAGCAGACACAGTCTCGCCCCAAGGGGTGGAATGCTCTCTTCCGTGTGCCGTGACTGGGTGGCAGCATCTCATCTCCCACCCGCGGGACCAGCACAAGGCCCCCGAGAGACGCGGCCCGCGGCCCGCCGAGTTCCAAACCACCAAGCAGAGCACGGAGCGAGCACGCACACGGAGGTGCGGCCGCCCCACAGAGGGACACCCAGCAGAGCGGGCGGACCAGCTGCCCACAGACGCGGGGAACGACCGCAAACGTCACCTGCGAGCCGACAGGCGCGGCCCGGCTCCCAGGGGCACCGCCAGGGCCCCAGCGGCAGCGGATCCTCACAGCCAGGGCCTCAGCCGGAAGCACGCTCGCCCCGCGCGCCTCCGCCAGCCGGAAGTGCACGGGGCCCAATTGGAGCCGCCGGTGGGCGGGGTCTGCGCTGCGGCAGGTGCACCCTGGGAAGGTGGGCGTATCCAATCGACAGTTACAGACAGCATTGCACGCCCATCACACCTGGTTCGCTCCCTGGGCGTCTCTCGGCTCCACTTACCTGCCTGGGAGCCCCATCGGGAGCCCAGCATCTCCCCAAAAAGGCCCAGGAAGTGTGTACAGGCAGCTGATGCCACAGCAGGGACAGCCCACCGCCGCGGGGTCCGCTCGCCGCGAGCACCCCGACCCTGGCCCTGCTCCCTAGTGTGAGGGGGCTCGGCCAGCACCATCAGGCCCCTGCTGCTCCCCCCGGGACAGCCAGTGCACCGGAGACGGGAGCTGGCCAGAGGAAACAGTTACTCCAAGAAGCCGGGGCCAAGACTGAGCTCTGCATCCGCAGTGTGCTGCTGCCCTCCCACGCCGGCACAAGGGGTCTCCTACGGGAAGGGGAGCTGCCATGAGCCAGCCTGCCCGACAGTGAGGCCGCCGCCCGGGTTCCGCTCTGAGGCGGCCTGGAGCGCAGCTGGATGCAGCTGATGGCAGCACCTTCCCAGCTGGGTGCGAGGTCGGCCTCTCCAAGGCATCTCCGTATGCAAACACCGTGAGTCACCGGTGGCAGGCGCTGTCCAGCTCCAGCCGGGCTGTGGGCCTGGGCGTGAAACGGGAAGGAAGATGCCTTGGTTACAGCCGCAGGCCGCCTGGGCGGGCTGAAACGGGCTCCCCAGAAGGCACTTTCTCAGGTCCCTGGGCAAGGAGCTGCTCCCTCGCGGTTTCTTCTGTCTGCCTGACCTTTACCTCCATTGGAAATTAATGTTTAACCAGCGCACCAGGCTCAAGTTGCAAGGTCAGGCCAGACACAGGCTCCAGGCTGTGAGGAGAGCACCGAGCCCCTGCTCTGGCTGCCGGCTGCCGCTGCAGGTGTGCACAGCCCTGAGGCCCGGGAGGAGGCCCACCAAGGCAAGTGGACCTCTGGGGATGGGAATGCCCAGCAGGTGGGCGGCTGCTTGTGTCCTGGCCAGAGTGCTGTGGTCCCCTGTTTGCGAATTGATGGTTAACTGGCTTGCCGGGTTGGGTAGTTTCTGCCAAACCTGACCTCTCCTGTGGGAGGTCCGCTCCGTGGGGTCCATGCACCTGCTCGCACACACAGCCACCCCAGAACTCGTGTGGGGTGAGGGGCTGCAGCCAGCACGGCTCCTCCTCGCCTACCCCGGCACCACCGCCACAGTGCCCTGGACGCAGGCTCGGCAGGCGTGGACTCTTTGTCTCTGCATTCAGGACTGCTCCAGCTCTCAGCCCTGGCTCGTCTGGGAGGAGGGGGGCATCTCCCCCTCACTGTGAAGCCGTCACAGTGGCGACTGCAGGGTGGGAGGGTCTCTCTGCTTCCCCACCTCCACAGACCCACCCCTCCTCGTTCCTGTCTCCTGGCCCCATGTGTACCCCGACATGATCCCCTGGGCTCAGCAGGGGCTGCTTTGCACAGGGGAAGGGGTCCACTCCACTGGAGCGCTGGGCATTCACCCAGCCCCAGGCCTGGCTAGTCCCTGACCAAGGCCCGCTCTTCCTGTGTGCCACGGGTGAGGCAAGGTGCCTCTGCTCCCCAAGTAGGAGAGGTTTCAGCTCAGGGGATGCATGGTTGCCGGTCCTGAATGTTGCTGTCGCTTCCCACAGAGCTGCAGCTGCCCGGCCAGGTCCTGCCTCGCCCTGTGGTCAGGGCTGATCTAGAAGTTGGCGGGGGCAGGGTGAGCCAGCCTCTGGCTGTCTTGCCCTCAGTGCCCATGGCCTAATCTCCTTGCCGCCTGTGGCCCGAGCAGAGCTGCAGAGGAGCTGGCTGTGCACCGGCTGGGGCCAGGGCTCCCCACAGATCCTGCCCACCGGCTGATTCCCTGCCACCACGGAGGTCTCTGCTTCTGTCCCAGCTCTGGGGGAGCCATCTCACTTAGCTGCCCCCTTGAAGACATTAGGGAACCCCAGCTCTGCACTGCACCGCAGGCCCTGGACATGAAGGGGGTGTGTGTGTATGTGTGCATGTGTGCACTGTGTGCGGGCATGTGTGCCGTTCTGCAGACAAGTGTGTGTGAGCACGTGTATGCACATGTGTGTGCGTGTGTGTGGTGCACATGTGTGCACAGCTGTGCATGCTTGTGTGCATGCGTGTGCACAGGGTCAGGAGCACAGGAACTGTGCACTGCTCCCCATCTGAGTGGGCCCTGCTCACCACCTTTTCTGCCCCGTGCAGCTGGGGGATGGGCAGTGGGCACTCCCTGCTGTTGCTGCTCCCTGGGGAGGGGGACATGCAGAGCAGGAGGCAGGTCAGATGTGGGAGGCTCATGGAACCAGCACGTCAGGCCCCCGGGAATCCCCTTGCAGAAGGAGCAGGCCCTGCACAGGGGCCCCTCACTGTCTTCCTGGGACGGAGGCTGGGGTCTCGCACCCTGACCAGGACACAGGTCCCATTTTCCCCGGGGCTTTTCCCCGCCCCTGCAGGCCCCTCTGCTGGCCCCATCCTGCCAGGGCGGCTCGCACGCCCTGCAGGGCGAGCAGGGGATGCTCTGGGTAAATAATGCAGAGCCGGCTGCGCTGATTGGCCTCGAGGAGGCGGACACTTTGTCTACATAAATGGCAATCGCATCCTCCGTGCCATTTAACTGTCGCGGCGCAGCAGAGGACAGAGAGCAAGCACCTCCGGCTGCCTGTGAGTACCGCTCTTTGTCCGGCTGGCTCCTGCGGGGCCGTGACCCTGGGCTGGGGGCGGGAGGGTTGCGGCTGACTCTGGCTGTGTCCCTGTCCTCTCCTTGGCTGCCTAGGACATCTGGGCAGCCCGGGTGTGGAAGTTTCTGAGAAGGCAAGCACCTGCTAGTCGGGCCTGATTTTTGGTGCCATCTCCAAGCAACAGGTCAGGCAAACGATGAGGAGCTTCCGATTGTTTCCCAGGCCGTGTTCTCTGAGCCGCGATGGCAGCTGAGCCAGACTGGTCCGTGCGCATTTGACCCACGGAGGCCACTCCGCGGGGTGAGGAAGGAGGAAACTGTGGAGCCACACAGAGCCGGGTTTGCACCTGCGAGGGCAGCCCCCCTCCCATCCTGAGCTCTGACGCGCCAGAGCTGAGAGCATCCTCCCATACAAACGTGTAAACAGTTGGTCTGGTGATGCGAAGGGCTGAGCATACAGTGGGTGCTTACTACGTGGGGGCTCTGAAATGCGTGCCCTGACAGCCTCTCCTCTCTAGGCTCCCAGGGACAGGCAGGCGGGAGGGAGGCTTCCCGGCCATCGTCTTGCTCTCTCTGAGACCCCAGGAACTCTGCTCCGTGCAGGGTTCTCATTCAAGGAGTGAAATCCCTCAGGAAGCAGAACCCTGGCCAGGAGACAACCACAGCCCAGAGCTGGCCCCTCGGGGTGTGTTGGGTGCTCGGAGATCACCTGCTTTTCCACGGAGCAGCCTGTGGGGTCCCTGGGCAAGGCCAGCAGGCATCCTGCTGTGTTATGCTGAGGACACAGCAGATTTTTGAAGGGGGAGAACTGAGTCACCCCCACAGCCTTCCCTCTGTCTCCGGGGTGCCTGGAAGGTGGGCTCCTGCAAACAGCCCATGTGATTGAGATGCGACCCTCCCCCAGCCTCCCTGAATCCGGAGAGCCCGGGCTATGCTGTGCTTGCTCCCAGTCCACGGGCTGTGACAGGTGTTGATGATCCTGCAGATTCTACTCAGGGCTCGCAGAACAAAACTGGACTGGGGCTGAGTCTCGGGCCAGGTCCCAGGGCAGCCTTCTTCCTGGGTGTTTCTCCCCGGGCTGGGCCACAGAGGTCTTACAGGCAGAGCGGGCAGCACCTGCCTCCTGGCCTCCCGGCAGAGGTTCAAGCCCAGAGCCAAGGCCAAAAAGCCACAGCCTGGCTCTTGGGTCGGGAGTGACCACTGCTGGGCTGGTGGACTTGGGCAAACCGCCTGCTGGCCCGGCCATTGTCTCTGAGATTACAAGTGCAGTGCTTACACCGGGCCTGTGCCTGTTTGTTTGTTTATTGGAGGAGGTGTGAGAGAGCCACTTCTCTAGGGAACATGGCGAAAGCAGCATTTGGTCAGCCTCCGTGGGCTTCCACGAATCAGCTCAGGTGGGACAGACGTGCCCCACATGCTCAGCCCTCTGCTCTCCTGTTCCACGGATGTGAAAGGGCAGGACCCCCAACCATACTCTGGGTGGCAGACTCTGCCTCCCCTAGCCTGGGCAGGAGCCCCTGCTGGCGTCTGGCCTCAGCTCTGGTTCCCAGTGCAGGATGGGTCAAGGGTGTAACTGGGAGAGGCTGGCTCCAAGCAGCGCCTGCCTTCCTCCACCTGCTGCTTGTGTGGGCGGCAGGAGCAGGCTGAGGAGGCCGGACTCGCAGGGGTGCTGAAGGTGGCCTGTGAAATGACGGGTGCCGAAGGCTCGGTGACACGTCTGCTTGGCTTTTTGCACAATGGGATGTGGTGACCAAGTGCCAACCTGTTCTCCGGGGAGGTTTCTGTGGGTGACAGGCCAGCAGCCGAGCAAGGGAAGAAACAATGGAGAGTACACAATGAATGGAAATGGATGTTTACCACTGACCTGGTTCATAGAGAAACAAAACTCCCCAAGCGAGAGCCTCAGCACAGGAGGCAGACCCAGCAAGCCAGGCCCCCGAGCTCTAGGAGCCCACACACCAGGGGGGCACCCCCAGGCCCCCCAGGCTCTGGAAAGCCCCCAGCAGACCGCGGCTCAGAGTGAGTGGTCTGGGGCAGGCGGCAGAGAATGGGCAGCCGGCTGTGACCCTCTGTGAGCTGTCGGTGTGATGCCAAGGCCGTCAGGGAAAGAACGAGGGGAAAAAAGTCCGGGAGTGAGAGAGTGCTTTCCATCTAAGATGCTGCTTTTCCCAGAAAAGATTAAAGCAAACCAGAAACCGAGAGGAAAAGCGAAATCCCCGTTACCTGGTGATTCTGACACATGCTGTTAATGAAAATAATAAGATACGAATGGTTTTTGATGGAAATTTTAAAATGTAAGTGCAAAATGTGGATGTAACAAAAGCTAACGGCGTTGGCATACTTGTCCTCACCATTGGTGCTAGGAAAAACCTGGAAACGGGCAACAGGAACCGTGAAACCCACAGCCCTTGACTGCCTCGGGAGGGGTTGATTCCTTGGAGGGCAGATTCAGGCGGTGCGCCTGCGTCCTGTCCTGAGGGTGTCAGCCCTGGGTGCTTCTTCAGGGCGCAGGTGCGATAGGTTCTGCACATGCTGAAGACAGGCGTAGAGCAGGACCCCTAGGCCCTCGCAGCTCTGTGCCTTGTTTATGGACAGGACCCAGCCCAGGCAGCCCTGGGGCTGAAGGTCCCAATATCCTGCTGCTCCTTTCAAATGCTCAAGTTGGGAATTTTTCCAGTCATTCTCAGAGAGGTCGCTGCATAGTTATGGAGATGTGGATGCAAATACAGGGTTTTCCTGTAGGGAGCTGACAGCCAGTAAACTACCTAGGCGTGGCACCGTTTGCCAAACAGAGTGGATAAGGAACCCAGGGCAAGACTCTTCCTCCATCAGTAGGCAGAGGAGCGAGGCTGTCCCAGAAATATTCCTCCGGCAACTGTGGTTGTGCCCATCACAGCTGAATAACCCACCCACAACAGGTGCAGAAGGGACATGCACCTTTCCCCCAAGACGCCAGCAGCGATACAGGGGGACACAGGTTTGCAACGTCAATACTAGCACAGATGGGAGAGAAGCTGACAGCCCAGAGTGCTCCCTGCCTGCATCAGCTCATTTGCCCTTTATACCAACGGGGAGGAAAAGGCTCTGAGAGGCCAGGACATTGGCTGGCAGCCGCACAGCTCCACTGGTACAGCCAGGACCCAGGTCAGTTTCTTTTATAAGAAATATGTGGTTTTTTTTAATCTACTTGAAAGGCAGAGTGGCAGAGACAGAGAGACAGAGATCTTCTACCCACTGTTTGACTCCCCAAATACCAGCAACAGCCAGGGTTAAGCCAGGCCGATGCCAGGAGCCTGGAACTCTATCTGGGTCTCCCACACGGGTGGCGCAACCAGCTGCCTTCCGGAATGCATTAGCAGAAAGCTGGATCGGAAGCAGAGTAGTCAGGACTCAAGCTGGCACTCTGATAGAGGATGCAGGTGTCCCGGTGGCACCACGGTGCCACAACCCTGTCCCTGCTGCTCTCTCTACTCCCCATGGCTGCCAAGAGGAAGAAACTGGCCCAGGGACTCCCCAGGGGCTGTGGCAGGAGTGCTCTCATACCCGGGAGGAGGAGGCCTCCTGGCTGGACCTGGTGAACCCCAGTGCTCGGGCCCTCATGGGACTTCCCTCTGAACAGGGAGCTCCCAGGAGATGGTGAGTGTGGCCCACCCCTCCGTGGCCAGGCCACAGGAGTGAACCAACAGGCTCATTGCAGCAGCCCCAGCAACTCTGTGCTGCGTGGCATTGGGGCCATTTGCACCAGAAGTGGAGGAGCAGTGGCCTCCCCAAATCCACACGTTCAAGCACTGACCCACACTGTGGGAGGCGCTTAGGCCACGGGGGTCCACCACAGCATTAGTTCCCCTATCCAAGAGGCCCCTCCCCTCTAGCCCAGAGCCCGTCGTGCTGGCCCTGGGACCAGATCCCCAGCCTCGGTAGCTGTGTTTGTAAGCCACCTAGGCCCCATACTTGCTGCTGCAGGACTGAGACAGGTGGCGCTGGGAGCCCAGCTGGCTTGGCCCCACCCACACCCCCATCGAAGGACAGCACTGAGACTGCCCCCATTTCCAGGTGCCGTGGATGTCGCCTCTAAGCCACAGGAGCAGCTGCAGTGTCCAGGTGGCTCCCAGGAGGTGCCCATGGGGCCACCGCAGCCCTTTAGGCTCAGGGAGAGGCCAGCATTTCTGGTGTCCAGTCCTGAAATCACCTCAGTGCTCTGTGCATGGTTTCCTGACCTCAGGCACCTGGCCAAGACCCCAAGGGCTCCGGGAGCCAGGTTGCAAAGTTCCGCGGTGGCCCAGCCTGCACAGCTGGGGCTCTGGGTGGAAGCCCTCAGCCTTCTCAGCTGTGAAATGGGGTAGCCCTGATGTGGTTGTTACAAAGCACAGGTTGAGAACACAGGTGAGGAGCTCAGCAGAGTGCAGCGGCTCAGGAAGTGTGGCTAACTTCATGCGTGTTAATTGTTTTCTAGCCAGAGAGAGTCCCTGTGGAAACAGGAAGAACCCAGTTGACACGGAGATGATTGTGTGAGCATAAGGAAGCGGTGGGATTGTGGGGGGGCTGCTGGCCTGGCTCTGGACTGACATGGTCACCTGGCATAAAGGAGAACGCTCCCCCCAACTTTGCTGCCCTCCCCCTTCACCTGGTGGGGCCCCTCCTGCCTCTGGTCTCTGGTCCCCCCCCCCCGCATACTGAGCACAGGCCTAGCACTGCCTGAGACAGCGCTCACTCAGGCAGAGGTGCGGCCAGGTTTTGCTGACAAACAGATCACCCCTCTCTCCCTCCTCCCCCATCAGCTGCATGTCTCGGGCCTCAGTCACAGGATTCTGGGAGTGTTTGCCAGTGGGAGGGCAGGTGAGGGGCCAGAGGGCAGATGCTGGCTCAGTCTTCTTGGGGCCCCTCCCACTGCACCAGCCTGGCACTGGGCACAGGCAGCCTGGACTCTGCCCTCACTCGGGGAGAGGGGCTGAGGCTCAGGAGGTGAACGGGTTTCCGTGGCTCTCCCCAGGAGTGCTGTGTGGATGGGGAGGGGTCTCCACATGCACCTGCTCAGGAAGGTCAGAGGTGGAAGGTCACCCTTGACCTTGGGCTTGCCTGACAGCTCTTGGCATACTCAGGCCTCTCATGAGCTGATTATTTATTTATTTATTTATTTGAAAGGCAAAGAGACAAGAACTCCCATCTGTTGGCTCACTTCCAAATGCCCATGACTATTAAGACTGGGCCAGGCCAAAGCCAGGAGCCAGGAATCCAATCTGGGTCTCCCAGATGGGTGGCAGGGACCCAAATGCTTGAGCAACCACTAGCTGCCTCCCAGGGTCTGCAGTGGCAGAGAAGCCAGGATTGGGAGCGGAGCCAGGACTAGAACCAAGGCAGCCCAGCGTGGGACGCGGGTGTCCCCAGCAGCATCGTAACCACTGTGCCAAATGCCGCCCCGGGAGCAGATTGTGGTGTTGCTTGTGCTTTGTGTCACTGAGGGTGCTGTGTTGTTCAGTCAGCCTGCAGAGGTTAACAAGGGCTGGGGGTTTTGTGAAGCCACATATCAGCCGCTTCACTCCCTGTTGTTGGACTCTTTGTGATCTTGGTGGGAAGTATTTCTCCTATCGGGCTCACTGTGAATCGCAGAGGAAATGTTCACCGTCTTTCTGGGGAAGTCGGCCACGTCAGGATTGTGCACAGGTTTCCACGCTTGTGCTCTGGGGAAGACAGGACCTCGCAGTCCCAGAGGCGCCAGTGTGTTTTAAAACATCAATTGCGGTCTTGTTGCTGGAAGGTGTATGATGAAAGTTGACAGCATTCTCTTGTTGAGGGCATGAAGTGGAAGTCTGGGAAGGCTGGAGAAGTCTCCCTGTCCAGATCTCCAGGAGAGCTTGCCCTGGCAGCTGGGACTGGCAGCACCATGGACAGAGCCTGGCACAGGGGCACTGGCTCACAGGCTCAACAGTGGGGCTGATGGTCCCCTGGGTGCTGGGTGTGCAAAGACCAGCAAAGTTCCTACGCCAGGGTACCATGCTGAACTCCCACCTCTCCCCACCACCTGCCGAAACCTCTTCTGGGTAGACAGAAGTGTGGGCAGGTGGAGAAGGGCTTCGGGAGGGAGGGGCTATTGACCCTGAGTCATGGTCTCTGCGACTCCGGGGTGTGGCAGAGATGTCTCCAGCTGCAGGTGTGGACTGGAGGTGGGAGAGGAGAGACCAGCATAGGATGGCGTAGAGGACCGGAGACTACTCCCTCGTTCCCAGTCCACTGAACCCCTGTGCTGCTCACACCCCTCCCACCCCCCATCTCGCCCTGCACCCGTAAAGGCAAAGCACAGGAACAGAAGCCTCAATGAGCAAAAGGCACCAGTTGAAGTTAGACCATAGATCACCAAAATAAGGATAATAATAGCCCCATGGCGGGTCAGGGGGTCTGAGGGAGGGAGGGGAGCTGGACTCTGCGCACAGCGTGTGGGGTTGAAGGTGCGCTGGCTCTGCTGATGCAGCTCTGGCTGTTACTGACACGGTAAGATGTCAGCCAGGGGTCCAGGAAATCATCCACACAAATAAATGGCCGAGAATGGTTTGCACATCACCGCCAGGCCCTGCCTTTCTATTCGGCTAGAGACGCATCTCCAGGCAGCATGTTCGGAGGTGCTGTCTCTGTCTTCTCCTGGCGCACACTGTCTTGACCTCACACTATTTCTCTCCCCTTGGAAACGGGCAGCTCCTCCCCGGAGGCCGAGCCTGCTTCTGCAAAGCCCCTTGCTCCAGGCTGCAGCTGTGCGCGGCCCCTCAGCTGCGCAGGTGGAGGCCGCTGGCATGTTTAAAGGGCATTTCTCGTTGTCACACTGAAGGGGCAAACCACAGAGAACGACTATAAGATTTCACCACGTAAAAGTCAAAATCCCTGCAGGTCAGAATAAACTTAAAGGCGAAGGTAGGTGAGAGAAAAATGAGGAAAATGTTTGCAACCCATGTCATAGATAGAAACTAGCAAATTAAAAGATGTCTAACAATGCTGGGAACCAGCGTTTCTTAAAGAGGAACTCCAGATGGCAGAGAAACAAGAGGAACCGCCCCCTTAGCTGAGGTGAAACAGAATCACTTCCGCTTCTGATGCCGGCAAGCTTCCGCGGCGCCCAGGCCCAGGACGGCTCAGCAAAGTGGTCTTTCCCGGCAAGGTTGTGGGAGGGGCTTTGTGGAGACAGCATGCTTGGGAGAAATGCGGCAATATAACACGTGTGTACGTGTGTATGAATTCGTGCAGAAGAAATCACAGAAGAGGACTCTTCTTTTGGGGATTTTTTTATTAGAAAACAAAGTGTGCGGAAATGTGAAGAAGAGGCTGTGCGCCGCCTTGCACGGCATCGCGGAGCTGGCCTTCACCCAGGGCTCATTCCACGCACCGTCCTAAGCTGTTTTCATCCATCTAATCTCTGCAGAAGGCTCTTTGAGGCCCTGCTAGTGTTACCCTGACTTTGTGTCCATCTGGAAAATGAGGCTGCGCATGGCGGCCCGGCGTGAGCTCCACAGCCATCGGAGGGATGCGTGGAGGCCAACCCCCACCCTTCAGCTCCCAGTGCACTGGGGGCCACTGCCCCTCGCCACTTCCGCAGGGGAAGTGGGGACAGCAGCAGAGACTGGGCTGAGGATTTAGCCCACTGGTGGTCTGACGTGTTACGTGACTGTGAGGGCCACAGAGAAAGGCACCTGTGCGCGGGGCCGGGGTGGGGCGTGTGGTCCATCCTCCTTGAAGAAAGCGAGCGAGACTATTGGCAGTGACACTTTCGCATAGTTTCAGTTTGTGCTGAAATTTACTTGTAACCCCAAATCAGCACTCGTGGTGGCTCCGTGGTCACGGATACACACGTGTGCAGCCTGAACAGAAAGTTGAGTCCCAGCAAGTGTGTTCCCAGCTGAGGCTGCACAAGGCGCCACCTGCAAGGCTCAGCCCTCGTAAACGAGTGTGCCTTCCTCCGGCTGTCTCCTGCCACCTGCCTCACAGGTTTGTGCTTTCGCCTGTGATTTGACTGTTGGACGCAGCCCTACCACGTCCTGCCATCATGCCTTCCAGGGTTCCCATCACAAGAACACTGTGCCGTGCCCCACGAGAAACACGCGTGTTACAGACGCTTCCCGCAGGCGTGAGTGGTAGCGCTGCTGGCTGTAAGATCGGTGTTTATGAGGCGATGTGCATGAACAAGGTGTCTCTAACAAGAAGCACATTACAAAGACGATGTGCTGATTGGCTGACAAAAATGACAGGAAGCTGGGCTGTCTCCCCGTAGGAGGATGGTTCACCATTCACTGAGTCAGGAATGGGGAATATTCAGAGAGCATACCCATGACTTGCAAGGATTAGCTGTGTGTCACGTAGGCAATGAGGGGAAATCCTGTGTCAGGAAAGCAGAATGTGTGAGACGTGCGAGTGTCCTGGGGATGGAACCCAGAGGAAGGAAGGGGACCCCAGCTCTGGGGGCAGGTGCGCTGTCCCAGGCTGGGGATGGAGAGCCCCAAGCATCAGTGATGCATCTTCACAGCTCCCAGGGGCATTGCTGGCGTCACTTCTCAGGTGAGCACAAGCTGAAGGGGTGGAGAGTGTCTCTGCAACAGCTGGGCTTGAGCCGTGTTTGTCACTAGGGTTGGAACAGACAATGAGAGAGCTGGTGCTTCCTGTCTGCCCTGCGGCTGGGAGACCTTGGGTTGTCTTCTCGTGGGGAAGAGCCGGGGACTGGTAGACGTAGCAGCATGTGGGCAGCCTCCAAGGCAGCACCACGTCCACTTCGTCCAGACATGGAAGGGTGGCCCCAGAGCACGTGCGTCGCTGCCCAGGTCACTGCACCCATCAGCCTCCTTGGAGTCTCCCTCCTCCAGGCCAGAGGGCGTGCTGCTCACTGCCTGTTTTCTCTCTGTGTGTGTGTGTGGCCTGCGTCTCTGACAGAGCTGAGTCACCATGGACACAAGCGAGTTCCGGAGGAGAGGGAAGGAGATGGTGGATTACGTGGCTGACTACCTGGAAGGCATCGAGGGCCGCCAGGTCTACCCCGACGTGGAGCCCGGCTACCTGCGGCCCCTGGTGCCCGCCTGCGCCCCCGAGGAGCCGGACACGTTTGAGGACATCATCAGTGACGTCGAGAAGATCATCATGCCAGGGGTAGGAGAGCTCCATGGTGGGAGAAGGTGGGGGCTAACACCAGTGTGGTGCTGCCCAGGCACAGGTTGGAGAGAAACTTGGGGCATTTCTCACAACTGAGGCCCAGAGAGGTTAGGTGGGCACCTGAGGTCACACAGAAGACAGTCCATTCATGATGGAGCCCAGATCCCAACCCAGCTCCCACGAGCTGCCAGTCCAGCGAGTGCGTCTTCCCCTGAGGTGCCCCCAGACTCAGTGCCGGCCCCGAGAGGCCCACGTGGAATCTGCCCCATCTACTGGGCAGAGGACGAGGCCCTGAACACCTCGTGTTCCTCAGAGGGTCCCTGGCAGGCATGGAGAAAAGCTTCTCTTACTCTGAGAGTGGCCCACGGGGGCCTGCTCTCCCAGAAGCTGACAGCCCCAGCAGGCCTCCCTCGAGGGCTGACGAGCCACCGCGGGCTACTGGAAGGCACCAGAGCCTCCGCAGTGCGCCCTCGCCGGGGAGCAGGGAGCGGGGAGCGGGGAGCAGGCAGCACACGGCACAGGAAGCTCCGCTCCAGCTCTGTGCTTCCGCAGTGGGACGTTCCGGCTGAGGGATGCACCGCACAGCCCCGCCGCGGGGCTCCGTGCCTGGTGCCTGGCTGAACCGAGCATTCCAGTTTCTGCATCAGGCTCACCTGCCCTGGGATGTGGGCAGAGTCCTGGAGCGGGGGCGGCGGAGCTGGCCTGTGTCTCTGCCGAGGCCCTGAGGGTGGTTGTGAGCTCAGTGAGGAGCAGGCGCGTGGTCTTCAGAACTGAAGGGGTCCGGCCTCATCAGACCCACCGCTGGCTCTCAGCACGGGGGTCCGGGGGCGTAGATCATCCAGTGGGGCCGTTGACCTCAGAGCTCAGTTCTCTGGGCCCAGAGCACATCCCGTAGCCCTGCCCAGGGCCTCTTCCCTGGACATTCGGGCTCTGAGAAGTGCAGGATCCTGGCTCTCACCTGAAGTCTTACACACACACACACACACACACACACAGCCATTCCACACCTTTTCAATGAGGTCATTTGCATGGCAAATAGCCCGGCCTCTGGCTGTGTCTTGGGGCCATAGCAGCTCTTTCCGGGCCAGAAGATATGGTCACGTCCAGAAAGCAGCTCTTTCAGAGAGACAGCACAGGTGTGGGGAGCGGCATCAGAATGACTGGGTCTGGACGTGTCCATCGGGGCCACACGGGGCACGTGGCTCCCTCCTCACCCCCAGTGACCACCTCTTCCCGCAGGTGACGCACTGGCTCAGCCCCTTCTTCTTCGCCTACTTCCCCACGGCCAACTCCTACCCGGCCATGCTGGCCGACATGCTGTGCGGGGCCATCAGCTGCATCGGCTTCTCTTGGGTGAGTGGGGGCGGGGAGGGGGTCCTGACAGTGGGGCCATGTTTGGGTCCTGGCCCCCAACACACAGGCTGAGCCACCATGCCGGGGGGGGGGGGGGGGGTGGGGAGGGCTCCGTGCCAGAGAGGCTGGCTGCAGGGGAGATTGGACAGGCGGGACAAGAGCCAGTGTGCGGCTGTCTGGATGGCGCTCAACAGCCCAGAGCCAGCTCTGCACGTGCTGCTGTTGGAAGCACTTGGCCTGAATCAAACCTCAGCGGCCATCAGCCGTCCCCATCTAGGGTGGGCGTTTTGAAAAACTTTAATCCTTCTGATAAACCAAGAGAGCGGAAGGGACAGAAGCAGTGCGATCACCCCGTTGCCACACCTGCGGTCCTAGGCTGCTGGGAACCGGGGGCAGCCGCCCTTGGTTAATTCCCTCCCTCTGCCCCCCGCAGGCTGCGAGCCCGGCTTGCACAGAGCTCGAGACAGTGATGATGGACTGGCTGGGGAAGATGCTGGAGCTGCCGGAGGCGTTCTTGGCCGGGGGAGCTGGAGAAGGGGGAGGAGTGATCCAGGTACGGGCGGGCTCCACAGAGACCCTGGCTGCAGGGGCTGACCCCTGGTGCTGCCGTGGCAGGGTCTGGGTCTGGTTCTGGCGCTGTGTCAGGCCTGGGGTTCCAGGTGAGGGAACTCCGACTTAGGGAACTTGTCTCCTTGGCTCCCAGTCGGGAAGTTGTAGGTCAGTGTAAATTGGGTCCTGTGGGACTCAGCTTGTGACCTCACCGCCACAGCCCTGGGAGCACAGCCCCTGTGGGTGGGTTGGCGCCCTTACCAGGGCAGCGGGCTGCTGACAAAGGAGGGAGTGCGAGTGGCAGCTGTGGTCATGCCCCAGCAGTCCTGAATGCCGCTGGTGCGTGAGCCAGCGCCGTTTCCGCATCGACGGAAGTCACTGTCCATGTTTAACCTGCACCTGTTGTGAGTGACTCACCAGGAAACAGGACAGACCCGGATGGCAGCCGTGTTGGAGTTGCTGATACCCTGGGACTCTGGGACAGGCGCCACTGGGGCCGCTTGGACTTTTTGTGCTTTCTCCACTCCCTGGCATGGAAGGTGAACAATGTGGAACCCACCACCTCCCCTCCAGCGTCTTCTATGTGGAGTGCGTGTGTGAACACTGGGAAAGCACGGTCGGCCTTGAAGTGACTGTCTTCTCAAGGCTCTGAGGGCACGTGAGGGCCATTATTACTGTGCCCATCCAACAGGTGAGAACACTGGGGCACACACTGGACAGTGCCTTTGTTGTGGGCGCGTGGTGACGTGTCCAGACGGAACACGAAGCCAGCCCTAGCGCAGCAAGTCCGGGTCTTTAAACCGCTGGGCCTGGCTCTCGGCTGGAGGAGGTATCCGTGTGGGACCACAGACGCTCTGTGATCGGAGCTGGCCCTGCAGCTGGGCTCTCAGTAGCCACCCCTGACACTGCGGGGTGAAATCCGTCTCTTCGGGTCTCTCTGCTTCCAGAGGCTCTTGGAATCCCTCGTGGCCCCCTCCACCTGCCAAGCCAACTGTGTCCCTTCTCTCTGACCTTTCATTTGTGGTCACGGCTCCTCTGACCACAGGTCAGAAGGCAGGGCCCTGCTCTGATTGGATTGGGCCCGCCCAGATAATCCAAAGTAATCTCCCCAAATGAAGACTCTTAACCTAATCCTGGCAGCTTTCAGAGTCACTGCACCTGTGCAGTGAGCAGTCACGTTCTGGGGTTAAACCTGGACCTGTGGGGGAGGCACAGCCGCATTCTGTGGACCACGCGGCGTGCGTGGGGCCAGGAGGAAGCCGCCGTGCCTGCCCATGCTGCACCTCCAGGGACCCTCGTCCACAGGTCTGGCCTTGCTTCACTCCCTTCAGGGGATCTGGGCCAGCTGCACGCCCTGTGCTGGCCGCCTTCTCTGGGACCAATGGGCCAGCGGCCAGGCTCCGACCGCTTCCTCTGCTCGCTCCCCTCCCAGGCTCGGGTTATCTTGCTTCCTGTCACACGCGCGTGGTTCTGGGGGGGCTGGTGGAAACAAGACCGTGGCCCTGCTTCGAGCTGAGCTGTGATAGGAGACTGGGAACCGGATTTTAGATACAGAGGCAGCAAGGGCTCAGCAAACACGAAAACACGTGGGCTCCCCAGGACATGGTTTCTCCTGCCAGAGGCCTCCGTGGCCGGCCAAGATCCCAGCCACGGTCCATATCACATGTGCCCTGTGGGTGTGGGGAGGGGCAGTAGCACAGCCTGGGTGGATGCCCGATCAGCTGTGCTGTGGTGACGGCCAGGCAGCTCCCACTGTAGGCTGCAGGGGTCCAGCTTGTCCAGGGCGTGCCCTTGAGTCCTTGTCTGGGGAGAGCAAGCCTGAGCGTGGACGTGGAAGGCGGGGAGTGGGCAGGGAGCCACAGGGACAGCAGTGCACCCACAGAGGACCGGCTTCTGGGCCCCAGGCAAGGGGGCCAGGGGTTTTGAACAGTGGTTAAGATGCTGCTTGCGATGCCCACATCCCGTACCCGAGTGCTTGAGTTCGAGTGCCAGTCCCAGTCCTGGCTCCAGCGTCCTGCTGTCCTGCTGATGGGCACTTCGGGAGGAAGCAATGAGGGCCCCCGTGGCCCCATGGGAGACCTGGAATGTCTCCTGCCTCCCGGCTTTGGCCCGGCCCTTGCAGTTGCAGGTATGTGAGGAGTAAACCAGCAACTGAGATCTCTGTCTCTCTCTCTCCCACTCCCTCCCTCCTCCACCCTACTCCCGCCCCTCCCAGCCCCTGCATCTCTGCCACGTCAGCTTTCAAAAAAATACATTCCTGGCAAAGTGCAGTCTCGCACTCCACGAGAGGCCTGGCTTGGGGCCAGACCTACTGTTTCCTATAATCCCACACACGCTCCCATCCATCCTGTCCCACTTGGCACCTGGGGGCCCTGCTAACCCCACCCTGGCCTCCTCTTCCCAGGGCAGAATCTCTGCGGAGTCTGTGGGCCTCTTCCGCTCAGTTCTCAGCTGTCTTGGGTTCTGCAGACTGGGGGCCTCCCAGAGTCTCTCTCTCTCTCTCTGGACATTTCCCTCTTGTGCCCGTTTCTCCTCTCCATTTTGAGAGAACGTCTCAGGGTTTTCTTTACGTCATTTTCGTTTTGCACGTCGCTGGTCCCTTGTGCTCGGTGCAGGACTCGCTTGCGCTGTTCTGCTCTGCTTCACGCCGCCGCATGGCTTCAGAGGCGGGGCCTTGGTCACCGTGGGGAGAACAGGGGACTCTGGGGGGCGTGCTTCCCTCCAGGGTAATTTCAGTTTGATGTCCTGCGAGTATGCAGACTAAGTAGTGTGTGCATAAGTAAGTAACATACAAGCAAATCGGAGGTGCCGCACGGCACACGGGCCCTGTGCAGGGCGTGTCACCTGCCACGTGGCTGTGGTGGCTGCTCACGGGTGCGGCATCCTTGCCGAGAGTGCCAGGGCACCATCTCTCTCCTGGGTTGAGATTCGCATCTGTGGCTGTTTTAGTCCACCACACTCTCCACTCCTGCTGTAAATGACAGCTCAGGGCCGCCCTTCAGGGCCAGGTCGCAGCCTCTGCCTGCGGGCACGCCCAGCACCCAAGCTCCAGCAGGGCTCAGAGCGGAACCACAGAGAGACTGCCTCTCTCAGCCTTCCCCTGAGAGGGGCTGCACATCATTCATCCGGCAGCCAGGCCCCGTCCTGCCGCCCTGTGCTTCTCGAGGAGTCCCACAAGGCCCGAGGTCGGGGACGTGTCCGTCAGACAGCTGCTGCTTGCTACTGAGCCGTCTGCGGCCTCGGCCGTGTTGAGGCTGTCTCTTGTGCCCCCCCACTTCACCCTGAGAATGTCCATGGGGAGTGACGGCATCAGCATCAGCGAGGAAACTGAGGTCCAGGGCCACAGCTAATCAAAGACGCGGGGGCGGGCGCGCTGAGCCTGGCACCAGCTCACCCCCGCCGGCTGGGGTTGCTGTGCACGCCGCCGTGGATCACCGCCTCTTCCCACTAAGGACAATCCCGTTTTCCAGAGACAGGACGTGCCAGGTCTGGTCAGGAACAATCAGGCCAGGCTGCCACCCAGCCCCCACAGCGCCATGCCGGGTTGTGCTGGGGGAGAACGGGCATTCGGGGCCTGCCTGCAGCCGGCAGAGCGCCCTTCCCAATGATGAGGCTGACGGCTGTCATTCGCCAGGCCCCGGAGCGCGGCCTGTGTTATTGATCCCTGCGGCAGGCGTCTGGGACAAACGGTGACATCGTCGTGATGCCAGACACACTGTGGCTGTGAAAATGGTCCCTTAATTGGGTCTGAAAGCTCTTGTGGAAGAAAAGCCAATTTCTTGAGGGGTGATGTTTGCAGAAACCAGGAACTGAAGAGACAGCTGTCGGGCGGGGTGGGGCGTCAGGAGCCCTCGGCCTCCTGTCTTGTCTCCGTGCTCCAGCTGGGGCTGGCTCGCCATGGCAACCTTTGTGTGCCTGAGGCCAAGCCATGTCCGTGGTCCCTGCCCTGCCACAGCAGGAGCAGCCATGCTCACCCTCAGCAGCCAGGGTCTGCACCAGCCTTGGGCACAGAGGCCCCTCTGCTGTCACGCTGCAGGTGGCAGACCTGCTGGCTCACAGGAGCTGTTGCCATCCCCACACTCTCCTGACAATTGCTTCCTTGGGTTTGTAAAAATCACTGCTGTTGGGTCAGTGCTGTGGCGTAGCAGATAAAGCCACCAACTGCAACATGGCATCCCACATAGGCACCGGTTTGAATCCTGGCTGCTCCACTTCCAATCCAGCTCCCTGCTAATGGCCTGGGAAAGTAGCAGAAGAGGACCAAAGTGACTGAGCCCTGCGACCCACATGGGAGACCTGGAGGAAGCTCGTTGCTCCTGGCTTCAGCCTGGCCCAGCCCTGGCCATTGCAGCCATCTGGGCAGTGAACCAGCAGATGGAAGAGCGCTCTGTGTCTTTGTCTCTCCCTCTGTGTAACTCACTTTCAAATAAGTAATTAAATCTTTTTTAAAAACCACTACTGTTGACCACAGGAGGAGAGTGCTCCCTGGGCAAGTGGACAGAGCCTGAGAGAAAACCCGTAAGCAACTGGTTAGAGACTCGGCTGCCTCGACTGTGGCTCAGGGCTCACCTGGGCTGGGGCTTGGGGGAGGGGTGGCTGCAGTCAGCCCTGCTCATGTGACTCCTCTCTCTCAAATACATTGTTCAGTCTTTCAATGAGAAAGCAAGGTTTGAGCATTTCAGCTTCGTGACTGTTGTGTGTTGTGTCTGCAGGACGCTAATCTCATAAACATCTCTCAAAGTCAACAGAAGCTGCTCTGTGCCCCCTGATGCCGGGCTTCCTGCAGGGTTGGCTCCGAGAGCTGCTCACAGGCAGGCCCAGGCCGCCCAGCGGACAGGAGGGCTCCCTCCCGGCCTCTGATCTGGGGAAGCGGGGACCTGCTCACCGTCTCCTCTCCCTGCTGCAGGCCACAGCATGGACGTGTGGGATGAGCGCGGCCGGCAGGGAACGTGCGTCCCTCGGCCGCTCCTGGCCTCCCGGGAGTGCATTCTGAACTCTTCTTTGCTACTTTGCCAAAATGAGTCACCCGCACAGCTCTGCTGCGGCCCCCACAGCCATGCCCAGACGCCAGCAGCTTGCACAGAACTCGGTGCTCTCTCAGCTCCAGACACGAGGGAGCCACGGAAAAGGCGTGGGCAGCGCTGCCTCCTGCCCTGGCCCCCAAGCGGCCGCTCCTCTGTGTGTCGGGGTCTGGGGTCTCAACAGCCTCTTCGTATCAGACGTAGCCTGATGCAATTAGAGCCGCCCTGGAGACCCCATATTAGCCTGGTTATCTCCAAATCTTACTTTCACAGGTACTAGGTTTAGGGCTTCCACATAGGAGCCCTGCGGGGGACATGATTCAGCCCACAGCGTTAGAGATGGAAAGAAATCCTCCAAGGCAAGGTCTGGGTCTTGAGAACACGTCCCCACTTTACAAACTTGAGATGTGTGCGGTCACTGTGACCCGGGCCAGGTTCTGGTGAACAGATGACGGGCCCCTGGGAGACAGGCGTCACAGTGCCCAGCACCCTCACCAACTGTGCGTGCACAGCAATGCATTTTGCAACCAGCGGTCGCAGGCCTGTGCTGGGTTCAGGTCTCACTCGGGCCTTTCTCTGGGTTCCAGGGAAGTGCCAGTGAAGCCACCTTGGTGGCCCTGCTGGCTGCTCGCACCAAGGTGATCCGGCGGCTGCAGGCGGCCTCCCCCGAGCTGACGCCAGCCTCCATCATGGACAAGCTGGTGGCCTATTCCTCTGATCAGGTGAGTATGTGGGCAGGGGGTCCCCAGGCCTCAAGGTCTGAGTGTCTTGTTTTGTGTCAGATGCAGAGGCCAAACCAAACGAAGCCAGGCAGCATCACGTTTATCTTATCTCACTGTGACAGAGGAGACCCACGCAAAGGGGAGAGGCACTGTCGGGTGGGAACTCCCAAGACCAAGTCAAGGGCTCCTAGTGACCCGGCACCACCATTTAGCCGGCAAGGGCTCGGGCTGGGCCCCAGTTCCTGCAGAGCAGTGCTGCAGACATCTCTCTCGCCATGGGGCTCACCGGCCTGGCCGCTGCCGCTTTACGTCCAGGCGGAACAGGTGCAGTCTCAGAGCCTGTGTCTGCAGCGTCTCACGGGGCACGCACTGCTCTTGGGCTGATGGCTGCCCGTGACGGCAGGGATACGGAGGCTGCTGGAGCCTCACTGACCCCACGCATCCACCCACGGACTCTGAGCCCGCGATTGAATTCCAACAAGGGAACTACAATCTTCACCGATACCGGCCCAGCCCTCCTCACCCTGACCGTGCCTGCCTCGGTCAGGTGCCTGCCTCACTATGCTTGAGAGGGAGATTCCTTGTGACTCAGGCAACTCCAGGACAAAAGGCTCCGTGGGGCGGGGGAGCAGCTTTGCCCCCGCTGTGGTGTGAGAGGACCATGGCCACAACCCCCGCCTCCCCCCACTGTCTTCGCAGGCACACTCCTCCGTGGAAAGAGCCGGTCTGATCGGCGCAGTGAGGTTAAGGGCAATCCCTTCGGACGGCAACTTCGCCATGCGGGCGTCTGCCCTGCGGGAGGCCCTGGACAGAGACAAGGCTGCGGGTCTGATTCCCTTCTTCGTAAGTGCACACCCATGGCCTGCGGCGTGTGTGCATGTGTGTGTCTCTGTGTGTGTGCACGCCACAGTCACGCCACAGCGTGGGCTCGGGCTGGGTTGGGGTGAGATCACACTTATTTCTCTTTCTGTATCTTTGATGGCGGAGCACTCACACGTGCATGCTTGTGCTCGCCAAGCTGCTTGCTTTCACTTCCTGGAGGAGGGACGCCCTGTGACTGTCTCCAGATAGCTCTGGGGGCAGTGTTGGGTGCCCTCCATCACCGCAGGTGTGTGACCAGTCAGCAGGCTTGCTGCCTGTGCCGGGGGGCTCTTGGTAGATGCTAAGACGCATCCTTTGGGAGGGGCTTGTTGCAGGCGAGCAGTGGCACTCCCAGGTGAAGTATCTGAGAGCCCAGGAGCACTGCCAGCTCCTCCTGCAGACAGGCTGCTCCCAGGGAGAGGGTGGGGAGGGGGCTCTGCAGCTCCAGACAGCATATACCAGTGGCGTCTCCACCCCTTGCTTCTCATTCCCATTGTCATTTCTAAGGCATGCCCTGGGTACACAATGTATGAAGTTTCTGCTTCCCAAAATCTGTTTGAAAACCCAGTGTGGGACTGCTGACCTGTCTTGTTCTTCTGCACCCAGATGACTTTTGATGAACCTACGTGGCCCCTGCCGTCTTACCCGTTGTCCCGCTCCTCATGTGATTTCTTCTCTTCTTTCTCGCCACTCCTTGGATGGTTCCAACATTTGTAATACTCCATTTTCTTCACTTTTTAGCTTCTGAGTTAGGTGTTCTTCTCGTCACCTGGTTATGTGTGCCACCGAGTCCTACAGGTATTGGAAACCCCATTAGCTATCATTGTTTTACATGGGAGACCACAGCTAAACCTGCCCATTTCTCTTCCCGTGGTCTTTATTCCTTAGTTTCATCTGACAGGATTTTCTTGTCTGAAAATTTCCTTTAGAACTTCTTCCAGTGTGAATCTGAGATAATGCATCATCTTTTTTTTTTTTTAATGTCTTTATTTTGCCTTCCCTTTAGAGAGATAAATTTGATGGGAATTGTATTCCATGGGGCAGCTCTTTTCTTCTGGTAATTCTCACAAATCCACAACTTCTTCTTGCCATGCATTCTGCTGACACAGAGGACAGAGAGATCCCACATTCCCCCTTATCTCGCACCCCTCGTTCCCCTAGATTAGCGTCTCACATTTCTGTAACTGCTCCCCAATGCTGCACATCATCGATACTTATAGCCATCATGCCCGCCGCTCCAACTCCCACATTCTGCTTTCTGAGGGCTTTGATGGCTGCATGCGACACACACCCGTCACTTCCATATTGTATACGGCAGGGTCACCGCTGTCAGACCCCCGTGCTCCATCCGGTTCCCTCTCCTCCCCGACAACCACACCTCGGCAACAACAGATCCTCGCGTTGTCTCTACGTTTTCCTTTCCCACAATGTCATGTAGTTGGAAACATACAGGAGGTCATCTTTTCCGATTAATTCCTTTCTCTTAGCAACAAGTATTCCCATTTCCTTGGTGACTTCTCGTGCTCGCTGTCACGTTTCTTTTTATTGCAGAGTAACGGTGCACACATGGATGCATGTGCTTGTTCAATCTATTCACTTGCTGGGAGATATCTTGGTCACTTCCAAATTTTGACATTTGTAATAGATGGCTATCCGCACTTGTGTGTGGGCTTTCCTTTGGCTGTACTGGGTAAACAGCTAGGAGCACAGCTGCTGGGTAACTTGGTAAAAGTGTCTATCGTTTTACAAGAAACTGCCAAACCATCTTCCCAAGCGGCCCTACCACTTTGCATTCCCGGGAGCAATCAGGGATCATTCCTGCTTTCCCATATCCTAGGAAGTGGTTTCAGCAGTAGACTTTCTAACAGGTGTGCAGTGCTAACTCATTGCTTTATTTGAAATCCCCTAACGACATAGGAAGCTGACTAGCATCCTTGTTTGCTGTATAAATATCTTCTTTGTTGAGGTCTTTTCAGACCCTGTGTTTATTACCGCTGGTCTCCCAGGTGAGTGGCAGGAATGCATTTTCTTGAGCCACCGCTGCCGTCTCCCAGGGTCCTCATTAGCAGGAAGCTGGAGTCAGGGCCGGAGCTGAATGACGACGCCATCAGCAGGGGACGCGGCGTCTTAACCAGCATCTTAGACCAAGCCTCTTCTCTTATTTACTTTTTGCCAGGAGGAAGCAACTTGACTCTTAAAAGTAGTGCTAAAGTGTCCGTGGATGATTTCAATTGAGATTCACTTCTCACCGTTGGGTGAGAACAGCACATGTAGATGGTGGGGGGGTGGGGTGTGACCTCTGCCCGGCTCCCGGGAAAGACCAGGAAGCTGCAGCCTGTGGCACTCACGGCAGGCTGCCGAGGAGAGGCCTGCAGGATGGGGAGACGCAAAGGGCACAGACGTCAGAAGGAAAGCCCCGGGCTTTTGTCTTAATCGGGCAGATTGGGACAGGTCTGCTGGAGTTCTGTCTCAGTGCTGGGTTGTCCCCTGGAGGCTGTACCTGCCCGTGCCTGTGCCTGTGCCCGATGATGATGGTTCTGTTCCCAGGGGGGTTGCAGACTCAACAGTCAAGACCACCGCGGAGAGTAGGGGGCCCATTTGGCAAGGGCCGAGCCAGCCCTCGGGGTGTGTGCACCCCCCTTTCCTCCGTGTGGCAGTTCCCTTCCCTGAGAGCCAACCTGATGAGGCCCTGCCTAGGACAGCGAGGAGAGCAGGTGAGGACGGCCGGGCGGAGGGAGCTCCGAGACGGAGGCCTGCGCCGGGTCCCGCCCTCCCTCCCCACCCTGCACAATGTCATTAAGCCCGGGCAAAGCAGACTGAAATCAGGTTAGCGGTGAGGATGCTGAGCCAGGCTAATCGGAGCCTGGAGCAAAGTGGGTGCTGTGGCTCCTGAGAGCTGGGCAATGGCCTTGCAGCTCCGCACCTCACACACGGGCTACTTAGGACTCTGCCCCCAGCTCCCAGCCTGCCCACCAGCCTGGCACAGCCCACAGCCTGCTCACGGCCTGCCTCAGGAGCTGCGCATGCCGGGGCTCGCAGGACAGGGTTCTGTGAGCGGGGGATCAGGGTCTGGGGCCTGACCGTCTTCCCCAGGTGTGGCAGGATGAGAGGGGCTAACCTAGCCCAGCCACGATTGTTCTACTCCTGCCTGGGTGTGTCTCAGGGCAGCTGGCCCCTCTGGGCTTCACTCAGGCTGACCATCATGTGGGGCTCGCGAAGCCCCTGCCTCAGGTTGCTGGGATGCTGAAGTGTGACATGGATGTGAATCTCCCAGCATCAGCCTGTCACGTGCGGGAGGCACTCAGCCAGGGCCACCTGCTCTTACTCACGGTGATACCACTGCCAGGGCAAGCAGGATTTTATTGTTTCAGCAAACAGGTCTCCTGCTCAGAACAACAGGAAATCAATAATTAAATAAGAATCTAAGGCTAGAGGTTTATGTTCACCAGGACCTCATCTCTGGAGATAAGCAGTCTTAATAGTAGGGGAACATCACTCAGCCCCTCTGTGCACACATTAACAGATGGAAAGTGCTGGTAACAAGGGGATTTGGTTTTTTGTTTTGTTTTGTTTTGTGTTTAGTTCAATTGGCATTTAAATGAGAAGAAACTAAAGGAATTGTTAAATGGCAGATATATCATTTCTAAGAGGCTCAAAATTGAGAACATAAAATAACAAGCAATATTAATGTGATTGAAACATTCTCTGTTTATTGTATAATTCTCTAAGATTTATTTGAAAGGCAGAGTTACAGAGAGAAAGGAGATACACACACACATACACAGAGAGAGAGAGAGAGAGAGACATCTTCCATACCCTGGTTCACTCCCCAAATGGCTGCAATGGCCAGGGTGAAGCCAGGAGCCAGGAGTCTCATCTGGGTCTCCTACACGGGTAGCAGGGGCCCAAGTACTTGGGCCATCTTCCTCTCTTTTCCAGAGGTATTAGCAGGGAACTCAATTGGAAGTGGAGCAGCCGGGACTCAACCTGGCGCCTACATGGGCTGCCAGTGTCACAGGTGTAGCTTAACCCGCTACACCACAACACCAGCCCCTTGCTGTATATTGTTACTGTTCATCTAATGACGTAGAAAAGTCTCATGTGTACCAACCGAGCTAGCCAGGTGCTTTCCAGAAAACGTTTTAATATTTATGTATGAGGCTGGCACCGTGGCTCACTTGGCTAATCCTCTGCCTGTAGTGCTGGCACCCCAGGTTCTAGTCCCAGTCGGGGCGCTGGATTCTGTCCCAGTTGCTCCTCTTCCAGGCCAGCTCTCTGCTGTGGTCTGGGAGGGCAGTGGAGGATGGCCCAAGTGCTCGGGCCCTGCACCCCATGGGAGACCAGGAGAAGCACCTGGCTCCTGACTTTGGATCGGTGTAGCGCGCCGGGCAGTGAACCAACGGAAGGAAGACCTTTCTCTCTGTCTCGCTCTCTCACTGTATAACTCTGCCTGTCAAAAAAAATTTATGTATGAGGATGAAATTGCAAATACCAGAGAAAAATAGCGCCCGAACTGGAACTCCCACTGCAAGACTGACCCTGAGAAACTGAAGGCCACATGGAGAATCCCTGAGGGTGGCAGGGAGGGGCGAGAAGCACAGTGGCACACGGCAGCTGGTAACATCCAAGCCTGCTGCCCCGTCACTCGAGGCAGGTCCCACCTCCCACGTGTGCGTTGTACCAGAGGGGGCGGAAGCCCAGCGAGGAGCCTGCGCTGGCCACACGGAGCTGCACCGCCAGCCAGGGCCTTTAGCCGAGTGCAGTGCTTTGCCGTCTGCACTAACCCTGCCTCGTCATTGCCCGCGTTTCTGGTGCTGTGACGGCTCTGGGCCTCGCTGTTGGTGCTTGGACGTGTAGAGGTTGCGCCACAACCAGCCCAGGGCGTGCTCGTCTGCCTCTTCCTCGTCTGCTTCTTCCTCTGCAGGTGGTTGCTACGCTGGGGACCACCTCCTGCTGCTCCTTCGACAACCTCCTCGAAGTGGGTCCTATCTGTGAGTACCGGCCCCCTGTGCTCTCTGCACGCAGCGGCAGGGCAGACCCCTGCGTGAGCGCTCCCCTGCCCACCGACTTCCTGTCGTGAGCAGCTGCCAGGCCTTCTTGCATCTGTAGCAGCATAAACCTTATTAACTTGTTCTCTGCAAACTCCAAACCTGGGCTAATTGGCCCAGAGCCGTGTGTAGCTAGACCAACACGCTATCGGGAGGAAGCAGGTGTTGCGAGCAGTGTCACAGGGACCTCAGTGCAGGCTGTGTCATCTCTGGGGGTGACAATAGACTTCAAAGCTTAGGGCCACCACCCTCGTGGGACGCCCTGCATACCAGGGCCCTGGACACAGCACGAGAACCGGCCACACTCAAGTCCGGGGTAAATCCTTTTCAACATCGCGGTCATGTGCCCCGTAACCACACCTCCCAACCCTGGATCTGCCTGTGCCTGACGCAGAGGAGTGGACCCTCCTTCTGTGCCCTGGGTCTCCTGTCGAGGGGTCAGCGGCTGTGGGAGGGGCTGGGAGATGGTGTGAGCTGGGCATAACTCTGGTGACCGGGCACCTGTGGCCTGCCCAGGTTCACCCCTGTGTGCCTGGAATTCTGTCTGTCGGAGAGAAGAGCAGCCACAGGGCGGGAGAGAGGCTCTTCCCAGGGGCGGACGCTGCCCAGGGGAGGGGAGGCAGTGCTGGGGCTGTCCCCAGGCAGTGGGGTGGGACAGGAGTGCCCCTTCTGCCTTCCGGGACACACACACATGTGCAGGAAGCCGGGAGACATAGGTGGCCCACACAGGACCTCAGCTGCCATGTTGGCTGTGTCCCCTGCTAACCCGTGCACCTCAGCTGGGCAACATGGAGTCTTCTGAGTCAGATGTCGGGCTGAGAACCGAATGCCCTGGTCAGCGGCCACCTCACGTCACCCACCGGGGCTATCAGGTTCAAAGGGCTGAGGTCTTCAGGTGCACAGGGCTCCTTCGACTGCTGTCTGTGAGTTCCGTGGGGGCGGCGCCCCGAGCTGGAGGCAAGGAAGGAAGGGAAATGAGACTCAGACCCTGGTCAGGAGCGCCCTGGGTTCCAGGGCAGAGACAGACGGGTGGTGCAGGTAACCTCCCGGCACCCGCGGTGCCCTGGGATAAGGCGGGCACAGGGAACGCCGGGTATGTTCTCAGCTGTGTGCCCCCAGGGCCCCCACTTTCTCAGAGCACTTCGGGGGTAACTGTCAACTCAGAGGTGCTTCCCGTGCAAAAAATCCCCCTTGGAGTCTGGGTTTTGTCAGGTTTGGGGGACACATGTGTGGCATTTTCACCTTCTCACGAAGGAACCTGAGGTTGCCATGTACCCCACAGCATTTCTGAGCTATAGCAGGCGCAGCCGTCCTGACGTCCCCCAGGGAGAGAAGCAGTGTGACTAGGGCTTGGTCCCGGCCCGACGCAGCGCCCTGGCCACGGGGAACGCCAGCACCAGGGATGTGGGGTGAACTTGCCTCCATCACCCTCGGAGCTTCGCTTCCTTCACGCAACACCCCCGCCCCTCTCCGCTGGGTGAGGTGGGGTCCCCGTCCCCGGGGGGCAGAGTGAGCCTACACTTTGCCTGCATCTCCTCAGACCTGTGCTCATGGCCTGCCGACCGTGAGCAGCACACGGGAGAGCAAGAGCCCGGATCCGCCTGTCCCCGCAGGTGCAGGTGCCCTCTGAGGCTCACCTGGCAGGGCCCGTCCCCACCAGCTGCCCCCTGGCTGTGCTGGGCGGGGCCGAGGAGGGAATGTTTCTCACTGCATTGCAGGGTCCAGGCAGGCAGGCTGTGAGCTGTGCCTCATTTACTCCTCAGTGTCCTGAGTGCGACTTCCCCTGTTGCCTGAGAAGAGTGAGGCGGGGGAGGGTCCAAGCCGCTGCTGCTGCCTGGTTGGTGGGGAGGGCTCGGGGGATGTGCGCTAGACCCTCCCTCAGGGGATGCATGTAGGCGACTAGGGAAGGGGTCAAGGGGTGGATGAGGAGAGCTGGGGAGGCAGCCCCGGGTGGGCATTGGCAGAGTAGCTGGAGCAGTGAGATGGGGAGGGGGCTCAGGTAGAGGAAAATGTAGGTGAGTGTTTGAGGGAGAAGGGGCTGACACACACTGAACGTGGAGAGCTGCCTGAGGCCCGGGAGTGGGGCGGGCAGTCACTGGGTGCCTGTGCGTGTCTGGGGCCACCAGCTCACCGAGGCCCAGCAAGCAGGGTGCTGGGGAGGCCGGGCAGGGCGGAGCCACACGGTGGAGGGGCTCACGGCTGCTTCTGCTGCAGGCGCCCAGGAGGACCTGTGGCTGCACATCGATGCCGCCTACGCCGGCAGCGCCTTCATCTGCCCTGAGTTCCGGCACCTTCTGAACGGAGTGGAGGTGGGTGCGCTCTTCCCTCCTGCTGGGTCCTGCTTGGGTCACCTGTGCCTTCCGCCTCCTAAGGGTCTGATGTTGCATTTCTTTCTGTGCTCTGTATTGGCAAATGACCTTAAAGCCGATTCCAGGAACTAAGGGAAGTGGTCCCCAGGCCAGGGCTGGCGGCTTCCCCACCACATGGCACCTTCCTGGCACACCGCGGTGGTGACAGCCACTTGCCCTCCACGCCAGTCCTGGGCTGAGCCGTCCTGACCCCAGACGCTGTAGCTCATGCAATGGACCCAGATGAAGCCCTGATGCATTTCAGTTCTGGGGTAACTGGATACCCCAGGCTATACGTCCACACCGGCTGGTTCTCTTTCACAGTCACGTCTGCCCTTTATGCTCACAGCTTCAAATGTAAGATGTTCTGAGTGTCCACAGGGGGCCACAGTGGAAAATCCCGCACCATGCCTCTGGTTTCATGCCTAAGTCTCTTAAAAGACTCTAAAAGTGCCTTCAGGTTATGTGTGTGGGGCGTGCATGGAATGGAAGTGGATTTTACATTTAGACTGGGGTGCCTTTCCCCAGGAACCTCATTTTGCAAATTTTCCAAAACCCAGAGAACCCCGCCTCCCAGACACCACAGAGCCGAGCACCTCGGGTGAGGACACGCAGCTGACACACATCTTCGAGGAGCTGGGCCCTGGGCGGGGTGCAGCTAGGAGCCTCCACTCTTCATCTTCCCGGGGCGCGTGGGGCAGCCTGGTCTCCCGCCACTGCCCCTCTCTGCCCAAGGACCAAGGAACGGACAACGTAGGGTTTCATCTTTCGCAGAAGGTGCCTGGTTGTCAGACCACCCCGTGACAACGCCCCGGGCGATCCTATCAGCCACAGACAGGCTCGGTGCCCAACAATGCCTCATTTCAGTCCTAACTCCATCCCTGCTCCCGAGAGCCTGGCAGCTCCTGGATCAGATAAGGGCTGCAATATCCTGTCATGGCCCTCCCCGTGGAGATAAGAGCCTGTCCCCCTGTCAGCAGGAGGAAAATAGCACTGCTGGGGAATGAAAGAAGTTTAAACAGATCAGCCCCAGAGGAGGGAGCTAATAAAACGCACAGCAAACAAAGCTTCTCTTTAACCTTTTGTTTCCTTCTATCAACAAATGAACCTTGCTTAAATATCCTGTCTCCTCAAAATTACGTTTATGGAAGCGGGGAAGGAAATGAGGCGACCCCTCCAGCGTGGGCAGGGTGGAAGGTAACGGTTGCTGGGCTAACGTCTCCCTGTCTCCCTGCTCGTACCCATCTGGACCACCTAACCTCTACGATCCATGGTACTCAATGGAAAGGAGATGTCGCAAAGCCTGGGGAGACAGGATTCCCCTCGGGGGGATGTGGCTGTTACCAGAGAAAGCAAGGGTTCTTGTGTTCACACAAGAAAGAATTCAGGCGTGAGACAGAGAGCAGGGGAAAGTAAAAGTAGCAAAGTTTATTAGGGAAGGGACATGCGTAAGAAAGGATGGGCACCTCTCCAGACAAGACCTGAGAGAGAGGGCCCAGTCACTCGGACTGGGGAGAGCGAGGTTACATGGGTGAGTGGAGAGAGTACACCTGGGCAGGCCAGGCAAGGCGGCTCAGCAGAGTGGTGGAGGGCTGAGCGCGCAGTCCGGTTGAGGCTGGGGGTTTTTAAGGGGATGGGTCCTGCCTTCCTGCCTCTTCTCCTCCTGGAACAAAGGACTTTTTGGATGTAAATATGAAAAATTCCTTTCTGAGTTTCCCCCCTGAAGTAATCAGACTGGGGAAGCCTGGCTGGCACCTCCCGTTAGAGAAAGGATGTTTGAAGTGCAGATACTGGGCTGCCCCTGGAAGGTTGTCAGGATGACTCAGATGCAGATGCTGGACCTGGGTGTCAATGCCTTAGGCCTTTGTCACACACACATAAGCTCATTTCTGACTTCCTACCTAACATGGCCAGACTGGGGCCCGTGGTGGCACCGTTAGCTGGGCGGCTTCATCCCCAGCTCTTCTGTCCGAGAGGAACCAGGGCACGCACTGTTAGGAGGCAGCCTTCACGGCAGCTCAGCAAGCAGACGGAGTGCAGGGCGAATCCTCAGCCCCTCTTCGCGCGTAAGTGTGTGTGGCCTCTCCTGGAAAACGTGACGTCAGAGGCTGGAGTCACTTGTCCGCGGCCGTCACTCGCAGGGATGCTGCATCTGTCAGGAACATCAGCGCCCGGATGCCATCCTTAAAACTAGGGGAGAAACCACACAGGCAGACAGGCAGGGTTGTGGGACCACTGGGCAGCTGTGGCAAAAGAACTAACCAATTAAGTGAAAAGCTGGGTTCATCTCCAAGTGCATAGGTTGGTTCTGGGGCCTTCGCTTTCTCCTTACTTATGACGCTGCATACACTCTGGGAACTCTGCAAGTTCATGAACTTGAAGGAGCGACGGGCAGACAGGGTCTTACCAGCCTGACCCACACACTTCTGGACAGAGTGCTTGGCCATGAAACTTCTGAGCCTCCCAAATATTCCAGTGCTGGAAATGTGATGCGGACGCACGTTAGCGGACTTGAGGCGACTCAGGAGCGACCGTGCTCCCGATGGGGGATGCAGACGCGCATTACTGGTTTTGTAGGCGGGCATTTGTCACTAAAACGTCCCCTGACTGCTGCTCTTTGTTCTTGTTGCTCTGCAGTTTGCAGATTCGTTTAACTTTAATCCCCACAAGTGGCTGCTGGTGAACTTCGACTGCTCCGCCATGTGGTGAGTGTGCCTCTTCCGGGCCCGTGGCCTCTCAGAGGCGGGAGCTGGGCGCCCTGGGCCCCGAGCGCTCCGTGCGGGGCAGACTCTGGTCGGGAACACACGGTTGCAACATCCTGGCGTCCGTCGGGGAGCAGGGGACGTGGAGAGAGTCCTCAGCGTGATGTATCGTGCATGAGCAGAAAGCGAGTGCGAGGAAATCTCAGCTCCTACTTGGAACTCGGCTGTTTGTGTGTTTGTTCTTAGATTTTTATTCGTCAGAGTTGAAGGCTGAGTTTAAGCAATGCCAGGGAAGATGTTGAAAAGCATTTGCTAAGGGCAAATTCAAGTCACATGTATTTAAAAGTAGCCCTGGGACCTAAGAATTTCCCTGGAAATCCTTGTGACCGTGCCACGACTGCTGTGGGCCGATTTAGAGTAAGAGAATGAGCTGAGAGTTAAAGAAGCTGATATCACACCCCAGGTGCGATGTGTACAGAAACAGTGTCAGCCGGGAGGCGACCCTGGAATCCAGCGAGTGTGGCCTCTGGGAGTGGGACATGGATTCAGCAATCCTGGGACCGAGCAGGGGCCTTTGCGTGCGTGTCACACAACACGCAAACTTGCAGAATTCCCAGACTGTTCCGTATGCGAGGCTCTGCAGGTGGTCAGTGTGGGGTTAAACGAGTGGTTTCTAGCCTTGGAGAGAGAGGCGAGCAGAGCTGCTACGGGCAGCTCCTGCCGGCCCCCGCTGGCGTCCCAGCCTGGTGTCTCCCGAGGCACCTGTCTTCTCAGCCTCTACTCCTATTCCAAGCAGTAGAGTGTTCTGTCAAAGTCTCTCCTCCAGTTTCTGATGCAGGATTTTAGAACTCACTATGCTCCGGCAGTGCAAACTTAACTCTGTCTGAAATTCTAACGAGGGCTTCAAGAAGCCCTGGTTTTTGTGAGCCTGAGTATTCTTCCGTATTCTCATGGTTGTGTTTCCTGTTTTACTGGACGCGGAATGTGGTAAGGACGGCTTATTCCACGCGCCACAAGTCCCTTTCAATTTGAGTGGACTGTCATTTCCTGCTGCTGGGCTATCTGGTCAGTTGGGGAGGCTGCTAGAGGGAGCCACAGGGACATGACGGGGGTCTGCAGAGCTCACGGGAGCCTTCCCGGGAAGCCCAGGGAGGGAGAATGTGGTGAGAAGGGCGTTTGCTCGGGCCCTGGGGCTCTGCTGCTGCCTCTGGACACGTTGCGGTGCACCGTATCCCAGAGCAGAGGCAGAGAGAGCCAAGAGCCGCCGCTGCTGTGCCGGGTGCAGGACCTGCCTGCAGAGGGAGGGGTGCTGTCCTGGGGGCGACTGACGAGAGAAGACGGACAGCAAAGGCAGGCAGGTGGCAGCCGTTTGGAAAGGGGAAGGGGCAGAGGGTGTCCCAGGAGGGGACCTGGAAGCCAGGTGGGAGACACAGAGCTGCCTGTGGTTGGGCGCCGCTGGGCAGTGTTGCAGGGGGCTGTGTTGGGGTTGTCTTCCATGGAGGAGCCCTTGCCTCCCAGGGGTCTGGAAGGCCGAGGAGATGTGACTGTGTCTGTAACGGAGCCCACGTGCCTCTCTCCTGCCTGGGCAGCTGTGGGGCATCAGGCCTCCCCAAGCCCAAGGCCACGACCTGGAGGCTGACCGGCCAAGTCAAGGCAGAAGGATTTGCTGCCTTTGGCTGTAGGGGCGCTATGCTTGTACAGGGAGTGGGCCTCAGGCTGGCGCTATGGCACAGTGCCAGCATCCCATATGGGCACCAGTTCGAGTCCCGGCTGCTCCACTTCCAATCCAGCGCCTTGCTAATGCACCTGGGAAAGCACGGAGGATGGCCCAAGTCCTTGGGCTCCTGCAACCATGTGGGAGACCCGGAAGAAGCTCCTGGCTCCTGGCTTCAGATCTGCTCAGCTCTGCCCATTGCAACCATCTGGGGAGTGAACCAGCAGATGAAGACCTCTCTCTCTCTCTCTGTATCTCTCTCTGTATCTCTCTCTCTCCCTCTGTAACTCTTTCAAATAAATAAAATCTTAAAAAAAAGTGTCTCTTTTTTCATTAAGTTTTACCAGTGGTTAGTCCATGATTTAACAGAAACGTTGGTTCTCTTCTTTAACTGTTGGAATGGACAAGATAATTGTTTCTAAAACTGCCTTTCATGACCAGCACAGAAAACAGGCTTCCCAGCGATCTCGTTACCTGTTTGCAGGTGTCTCATTGTTCACTCGGGATCCTGGATGTGTTCTGTGTGAATGCTGGCCACTCAGCCTCCAGAGACAGCCTCAGCTTCCAAACGGGCCAGGGCCTGCACAGCAAGCATTTTAAGAGAGGCCGGGCTTTGGTCCAGACCTCAGACTATCATAAATTGTTCTAGTGCATTTGCACACTTCTGTTACAATGGAGGTTTTAAAAATTCTGTTTCTGTGAAAGAGTTAATTTCTGTAGCGATGGTGGGACTTGATTCTAGAATCATGGGTGGACGGTCCCCTGCGTGTCTGTGTGCGTCTGTGTGTGTGCGTTCACACACTCATCTTTTAATCATCTGTTGAAGAACAATTCTTCCCCTTTATACCCATGAAATGTTGTAAGGAACTGCAAAGTCCAAACCTCACTACTGAAGAGGAGACCCCCCCCCGCCCCGAGCTATCAGAATGCAGGCCAGGAAGCAGCAGAGGGGCCTGCAAGTAGAAGCACTGAGCTCGGCTGAAGACGCCACAGCACCCGAGGAGAGCAGTGGACGCGACGCCCAGAGAGCAGGCAGCACTCGAGAGCGGAGTGAGCCAGAGAGCAGCAGCAGGCGAGACTCCCAGCAGCGAACAGGAAGACAATAAAGACGATGGACTGACGTCATGAAGCAGGCCGTGAAGACCCAGGAGAGAGGCCCAACCGAGCGGGCACCGAGCTCGGCTGCTGGGAGAACAGCTGTGGGCCGGCGGCTCCGGACGAGGAGGAGAAGGTGTGGGGAGGACGGAACGCAGGCACTCCGGAGACTGAAACCCTGTGATGACGTCACGCCCCGAATCACCACCAACACACAGACAGCAACCACAAAACGCCACCAGTGCAGCTCAAGAATACCTAGAAGTCTTAAAAAAAATCACAAACACAGCGTGCTAACATTTAAACTTTGCTCCTGCAGCCAAAATCCTACTGTTACCCATCCCATGGTGGGTGCAGCGCACAAGGCATGTGACCCCTCCCGTCACGGAGCAAGTGTTCCTGGGGCTCCACGTAGATGTAAACCTCCCAAGTCAAAGGAGAGCAAACAGCCCACTGACGTGTGGAGAAATGCGGTTGCTGTTCCAGATGAGCCAGCGTGATTTTGTGTTAGAAGGGAGTCGACGAGGAAGGGCGAAGGCATTATCGTCCCACCTGGTGCAAAGAAGCATTACGTAAACCCAACACTCAGGACAAAGGGTCGTAGTGACACGGGGACAGGAGAGAACCTTCTTATCTACCGAGCAACTGCAGGAAACCTGTTCATCACGACGAAAGAGAAGATGAAGAAGTGAAAGGGTAGGCGCCGGGCAGAGGAGCTGAGACCCACTGTCCTCTGGCCAGGCCCGGGCAGGGGAGCGGAGACCCGCTGTCCTCCGGCCAGGCCCGGGCAGGGGAGCTGAGACCCGCTGTTCTCCGGCCAGGCCCGGGCAGGGGAGCTGAGACCCGCTGTCCTCCGGCCAGGCCCGGATAGGGGAGTGGAGACCCGCTGTCCTCCGGCCAGGCCCAGGCAGGGGAGCTGAGACCCACTGTCCTCCGGCCAGTCCTGGGCAGGGGAGCGGAGACCCGCTGTCCTCCGGCCAGGCCCGGGCAGGGGAGCTGAGACCCGCTGTCCTCCAGCCAGGCCTGGGCTTTCCAGAAGCAGTGGATTGTTAACACTGACACAGAGCAACACACGACATTTTTCTTTCTTCTTTTTTTTCCTTTTTTTTTTTTTTACAGGCAGAGTGGACAGTGTGAGAGACAGACAGAGAGAAAGGTCTTCCTTTGCCGTTGGTTTACCCTCCAATGGCCGCCGCGGCCGGTGCGCTCTGGCCGGCGCACTGCGCTGATCCGATGGCAGGAGCCAGGTGCTTCTCCTGGTCTCCCATGGGGTGCAGGGCCCAAGGACCTGGGCCATCCTCCACTGCACTCCCGGGCCATAGCAGAGAGCTGGCCTGGAAGAGGGGCAACCGGGACAGAATCCGGCGCCCCGACTGGGACTAGAACCTGGTGTGCTGGCGCCGCAAGGCGGAGGATTAGCCTAGTGAGCCACGGCGCCGGCCCACACGACATTTTTCAAAACAGAAATACTCTTTATCACAGCATGTAGGTTACTATGAACAGATACATCCAAACCCGTTTAGGTCGTTGTGAGAAAATATTCTAGAATGTTTTGGGAGCTGCGTAAGGAGCCTTAGCTAAGTACAGTGACATGTTGTGAACATCGCGACTCAGTCCTGACCTCAGTGCCATTCTGGTCAACACCCTGGCTGGCGTATTTGTCTGCCACGAAGAGCCTGGTCTCTAGGACCAGGCCCCCAGGCCACCCGCACTTCTGTGTGATGTGACCCCTGAGTTGAAGGCTTCCACAAATGCTGGGCTCAGCGCCAGCCTCTGCTAACCTCACAGAACCCGAGTGTGTTTCACACACATCTGCAGGTTTAGTGTGTGAACAGCCAAGGAGGAGCTGTGGTGGGTGAGGGGTGGGTGGGGAGGCAGGTCGCAGGCTGCCAGGTCCCCCTGGGTGCTCCCCACCCGAGTGGAACCCAATCTTTGAGGGCTTTGTAATGGAGCAGCACCACTGATCTGATCACGAGCTGGCCCCAGCCCCTGCTGGAGACTGGAAGGTGGGGCCGAAATGTGCAACCCTCTACTCTTGCCTTGGCCCGGGCAAGGAGCTGCCACCCTGAAACCATGCCAGAGCCGAGCTCCTCACCATGGGAAAGGCACTCGCACTGCTCCAGAGACACCAGGCGTGGTAGAAGCCATGAGCCACAGATGGGGACAAACTCCAGGGAACACTCACAGTTTGTTCTAGCTCCCACCCCAGTGCTGTGCTGGAGCCAGGCCATGAGTGCAGGTGTTCAGCTGGGGCCTGGAAAGGGTGCCCGAGCATGGGGAGAGCAGGCAGCGTGGTCCCATTCACAGCCCTGCGTCCTGAGCCCTAGTGTGTGTTCTCTTGACCCAGGGTGAAAAAGAGGACAGACTTAACAGGCGCCTTTAAGTTGGATCCGGTTTACCTGAAGCACAGCCACCAGGACTCAGGTAAGCAGGCGCTCGCTGCTGGCACTCTGTTCACACTCTGGTTTCGTGGGGGCTGTGTCCATACCACCCCGCATGGTGTCTGGGCCCTGCCTCTGGGGCTCTGTCCCCATGTCCTAGAGGGAGACTCTGGTTATGGATGCCTTGAACTCGGGCTCCACAGGATGGGAGCAGGGGCAGCACCACAACCATAGGCACAGCCATGGGACCTGTGTGGGTGTAGACAGTGTGGTTATAGAGTGTGGGTGTAGTAGATGGGTGGGCACAGCCATGGGACCTGTGGGTGTAGACAGTGTGGTTATAGAGTGTGGGTGTAGATGGTGGGCATAGCCATGGGACCTCAGTGTGGGTGTAGATGGTGGGCACAGCCATGGGACCTCAGTGTGGGTGTAGATGGTGGGCACAGCCATGGGACCTCAGTGTGGGTGTAGGCGGTGGGCACAGCCATGGGACCTGTGTGGGTACAGACAGTGTGGTTATAGAGTGTGGGTGTGGTAGATGGGTGTGCATAGTCATGGGACCTGTGTGGGTGTAGACAGTGTGGTTATAGAGTGTGGGTGTAGTAGATGGGTGGGCACAGCCATGGGACCTGTGGGTGTAGACAGTGTGGTTATAGAGTGTGGGTGTAGATGGTGGGCACAGCCATGGGACTGTGTGGGTGGTGGTTGTAGAGTGTGGGTGTAGCCAGTGAAGGTAGCCACAGGACCTCAGTGTAGGTACAGACAGCTCCTGGGGTAGGAAAATAGTTCGGAAACAGAGCCTAATGTCTTTCTAAAGCAGATTTGCTGCCTGCACCGGAGCTTAGGGCTGAGGGCAGAGCTGTCTCTGGCTCGGGGGTGCTGCAGGGACCTGGGGCCTCCTGTGAGGCAGGGAGGGACACCGCGTTCCAGGAGGCTCCCGTGCTCCTGCAGGCTGGGCCCGAGGGGTGCAGGGGGTAGCAATGAGGATGTCTCCGAGGGGGGCTCTGAAAGATAGCATGAAATTCAGAACTAACTCACATGGCCACCACAGCAGGTGGTGTGGTGCCCCCGGGAGAAGGGGGCCCTCCACCCTCCCCTGACATGCTGTGGCTGTCAGCACACCCTGTGGAGCACCTGTGTTCTGTCCTTGGATTCCTGGTGGTGCGTCTGAGTCACGCCAGGCTGCAGCCCCTGAAGCTGGCGCTGTCTTTGCCACTGATGAGCCCTGCACCACCCGTGAGAGGCTGTGGCATGGGGGATGGAGCACACTGGGACCTAGGGTCAGCTGGGGGACCCTGGGCCTCCTCAGGCTCACATAGCACAGGGCCATGAGCCTGTAGCTCCTGCCTTTATTCCCCTGGGAAAGGCCAGGCAGGTGGCGGCTGGGGAGTGATGCCCAGGATGGACATTTGGTGTCCGTATGAACACCACTGCATAGAGTAGGCAGTGCTAGGTGGCCAGCTCGTCCCAGGAGAGGGCCTGTGATGGCCAAGTCATAGTCACAATTATCTGAGTGCAGAGGCATTTAGGAAGCCCCACGTGTGCCTGGCCAGGCCTGTGTGAGTGGATCAGGTTTCCAATGCTTGAGACATCCTCCGCCGCCAGTCCACGCAGCTCCTCTCACTCTCACTCTCACGGATCCCTCGCCTGTAGGACCTCTGTGTCCTCAGTGTCCAGGGCTCTGTCCCCCCACAGGTCAGGGGAGTGGGGAGAACAAAATGCCAAGTGGCCCCTTGTCGTGGCCCACGTGGTGCCCTGGACTTCCAGACGTGGCCACGGAGCGCCCGCCCATGCCAGCCGCTGCCTGCGGCCCCCGCATGCACGTGTAGAAGTGAGAACTCCATGCGGGCCTCCTCCCTTCCTCTCCTTATCACTCTGATTGCTCTGGGCCCCCTCCACCGGCCCACGGGAGCACAAGTGACCGAGCACCGCCTGTCTGCTGGGCACGAGGTGACAGCTCAGTGCTCACAGCTGTGGGACCCCACAAAGCACACACCAGGGCTCCCCTTTGTGTTTGGGGCTTCCTGCTCCCAGGCCTCCCCTCTGCAGGCCCTGCCCACCGTGCGGCTTTGCCTCAGCTCAGAACTGGCAGGGGACACAGGCTGCGCGTGGTCCATGCAGGTCTCACACCTTCTTTTCCCTTTCCCTCCCCTCCAGGGCTCATCACCGACTACAGGGTAAGTGGCTGAACTCCAGGGAGGCTGTGACCCAAGGTGTGAGTGGGCACAGGGCTCCTGCTTGCTGGGCCCTAACTGACCCACTAACTGGGCTCTTGCAGGCACTGGGCAGTCCTGCTGACCCCCACGGGAGGTCTAGGGTTGGGAGGGGAGGAGGGGCTGCATCCCTAGTGCGCCCCTCTTAGGGAGGGGGTGTTCTGTGTCACTGCGGGATGCTGAGGGCTGGGGGACGGAAGGACTCAGGGAACATGGAGTGCCTGGCGCTGCGGGCCTCTCCTCACCCCTTGCTTCTCCTGCCCTGTGACGCGTCACCGCGGTAAAGTGGGCTCTGGAGACAGCAGCTGTCCACACTTTTCCCTGGAAAGGAATTTGGAGCCAAAGGCAGTGCTGGGAGGCTCACACAGAACCACTGGGGGACAGGCCTGGGACCTCTGCCTCGGCGCCTCCCCGTCTTGAGACGACCCGAGTCCCTTCGTCCTCTGGTCAGATGTGGTGGGCACAGGTGTCACTCTGGTACGGTGCCCCTTGCTGATGGAGGTGTGTGTCTGCACAGCAGTGGTGGAGAGGCATGCTAGCGGCTTAGGAAGAGCCACCAAGGGCTGCGGCACTCCCTCTGGTGGGAGTGGGGAGCCGGCCGGGCAGAGCTGAAGGAATGCTGCCCGTGCCACCCAGGCTCATCCTAGCACAGTTTTGGGGGTGGCTTGCAGGGCACCGCCCAGCTCCACACCAGGGAGCAAGGCCAGGGCGTGCACCCCGGACATGGCCAGGAGAATGAATGAGGTCACTTACTTGGATAAAAAATCCCCTTTAGGTTCCAAATACCTTTTACAAAACTAAGGAAACAGCGTCTGTTTAAGGAAAATATAGCAGTGATTTTCAACCCAGTCAGAGAGCAGGACCGCCTGTAATCTCCCCGGCCTGACACTGCCCCGGGCTGCGCTGATGCCCGGCGTCCTCTCTGCTGGTTCTCAGACCCCAGGCTGGGCTGACCACATGGCCGCTGCTGCTGCTCCACCGAAATGCAAATCGTAATGCTGTCCAGACTCCTCCAAGGCCCTCATCATTACAGAGAGGCCACACAGAGACCCACGTTTTCTGGTGCATTGATGTCCCTGTGACGAATGACCACGCGTGGCTGTCTCACACATGAGAGTGGGGCTTTCCACTCACGATGAGCTCTTCCTAGTGGACAAGACCAAAAACGGGGAGTTAGGCCACAGGACCAAGTTGTCTACCCTGTATTCTCTTTAAACTTCCCTCCCCTACATCTTCAGTATTGCTAGGAAGAAAAGGCATGACACCGCTTCCAAGGGACATAAAGTAGCCCAGGTGCTCTGGACACTCTAGTGACCAACACGCCCTGCAGGACCCCAGCACAAGAACCCACACGAGAACTGTGTGTGCCGCCTCACGTGGCTCCAGAAACTGAGGATGAGCGAGTGGGGCGGGCAGCGTCTGGCCCGGCCTCGCCGGCTGGGCTCCTGGAGCTCCTCCCGTGCCGCCTCCCTGCCTGTTTCCTGCTTCTGTCTCCGGCCCCGTGTTCTTCCTCTGCTTTCCCTAGCCACGCCCACTCCACAAAGCTACAGACGGAGTCGATCTCTCTCCTGCCCTCAGCAGGAGCCTCTGCCTCCCGAGGCACGGCCATCTTCCAGGTGTATCTGAGCTGGCACAGGTCCGTTCCACAGTGAAAACTAGGGACACCTGAGCCGCTGTCACCTGTCCCTGTCTGCACTCCTTTAGGGAGCTTTGCAAAGATACCCTCTGCCTGGGGCCCTGCTCACACCATGGTGGGCTTGGCAGCTCCGGAGGGGGCAAGGCCATCAGAGAGAAGTGGCTGCAGGGCTTGGCTGCCTCCCAGAGGAACAGGTGGGCTGGGGAGCAGAGAAGGAAGCCACTCTGAGTGCGCTCCTTGCTGACGCGTGTCTTGTTGCAGCACTGGCAGATTCCGCTGGGCCGCAGGTTCCGCTCCCTGAAGATGTGGTTTGTGTTCCGGCTCTACGGTGTCAGGGGGCTGCAGGCCTACATCCGCAAGGTGACTGCGTCCTCCTTCCCTGGAGCTGCAGAGGGCCTAGGGCACTGTGGGGAGGGATCTGCCCTAACATCTGGTTGTCAAGAGTGGGCTGACCCTGGCCCAGTGCCCCAATACGGACCTGGCTGTTTTGTGGTGAGGGGCTGCCGGGGTTGCTGCCTGCTGGTGACACTTCAGCCCACCGAAGAGAGTCAGAGTGACACGTCTGCACAGGGTGTCTGTCACCACTGTTGGCCAGCAGTCTGGGCAGTCAGCCCAGTGGGGAGAACACTGGCTACTGTCCTCCCAACCACGCTGACCAGGGCCCCAGGGCGGGAGGGATCTGTCAGAGGCATCCGCACAATGCTCCCAGCCAGCAGCACTGTCAGGGTCTGAGAACCCGCATGCAGGGAGCGTCAGTGATGGAGCGAGTGGGGAGTGTGCGAGGTCAGGCCAGAGGCATCCTCCCCAGCCGAGAACGCACAGGAGGGGAGTTCAGCTTCGTGGGGGAAGGCAGAGCATCCCGGAGCAGGCGTGCCCGTGTGCAGTCACGCCCGGAAGCTCCAGGACCACGGCGGTGACTTCGCTGCCTCTGGACGTGCTCCCAATGCTGCCTTAGGAGCTCCCTGCAGGGCAGTGCAGCCCACACGGCCAGCGCCTGGAGGGTGAGATCTTTGGCGCCCTCTGGTGGTAAGATGACAGCAGTGTGTTTGGCCTTCCTTCAGTTCCCACTAGGCCAGGTCCAGGATTGTGGCTGACAGCCTGCAGAGCACCTGCTGCACGGGGCCTGGAGTGTGCTCCCCAGGTATAGAAAGAGCAAGCCGTGCCCCCAGCCCCACCAAGGAGAGCCTGCACACCTAGAAGTTGGTGTGTTCAGTGAGGCACAGGCAGCGCCAATGCTGTGGGTGGATGTGGTTCCCACCTCTGAGTGGCCGACAGGTGGAACGGCAACCTCAGGACCCAGGCCTGGCTGTCTGAGCATCCCAGCTCTGCCAGGGCCTCCCCAGGGCAGTCTGGGCACGTCACCTGCCTCTCAGAACCTGTTCCCTTCCCTGCAAAACGGGTCCAGTCACAGTGTCTCCCACGTGGTGGGGATGACAGGGTGAGCAGGCAGCACGGCGCACACACAGGGAGCGGCTGGCGGATGTCAGCGATCGTCCTTTCTAGAACGTTCAAACGCCTCTGCAGCATGTCCGCAGTGATGTGAGACTGTCTGGGTGGGGCAAAACAGCCCCGTGCACAGAGACCACAGTGATGTGAGACTGTCTGGGTGGGGCAAAACAGCCCCGTGCACAGAGACCAGAGTGGTTGGGTTTGTGTGAACATGCCAGCCCTTTTCTCGGGTTGAGAAACGCAAGGGGACAGCAGGTGAGTGGAGGCCCCCACACTGAGCTGTGGTTGGGCAGCCAGGGAGCTGTGCCAGGGGCTGGCCTCTGGACTGGGAGCCCACGGGACACGCGGGCAGCTCCTCTTTCTCTCCCAAGCATGTCCAGCTGGCCCACGAGTTTGAGTCCTTGGTGCTCCAGGATCCCCGCTTTGAAATCTGCATGAAAGTCACGCTGGGACTCGTCTGTTTTCGGCTAAAGGTACGTTTGCACTCAGGCAGCCTTTTTTGGGTCGGGGGAGCATCTTCCACCCTCTCCCAGGAGACTGAGAGACAAGGCCTGCGGGCCCCACTGCACTGACCCACCGGACTCCACGCCTTCCACAGACTCTGCTCTGTGAGCCAGGGCTGCTCAGCCTCCTCCACACACTCTCAGACGCTTCTTGCTTGCAAACCTTTCTTATCCCTAAAATCCACCCCATTTTCCCATCCCCAAAGCTCTGCCCCCACTTCTGCCACAGAACTTCCTGGGGGCTGGTCCAGGCTGCCCGTGACCCCACACACTGGCACCATCCTCACCATGACCCTAACACCCCCTCGGGAGGGTGAGGCTGACGCTGACCCAGCAGGTTCCTCAGGAGGGTGAGCACACTGGCTGAGCGGTACCTGCGAGAAGGGAGCTGGTCCCTGCAGCCTGGGTGTCGCCATTTCTGCCAGGATTCAGAACGGTGTTTGCCAGCAGGCTGGAAGCTAGGCAGCGCCCAGCCCCTGGCTACCGTCGAATGGATGGAGCTGGAGACACCTGGTGCTCTGAGCACGGCTGCGCTGGCTTTCGACTGGTCCACAGCCTCCGATCAGCTGCAGACCTCTTCCTGAGGAAGGCGGTGATGGGGGGAGCAGGAGCAGGCGGGCTGCGCTTTCACAGCGCTGTCCAAGTGCACCACTGCCTCCCGGCTGCCCCTCACCTCAGTCCTGCGGCTTCGAGGTGAGGAGGAGAGCCGCTGTGGAACATCCGGAAACAGGAGAGCTGCAGTCCGCGGACACAGCTCGGGAGAGACCCGGGTCTCCACAGGGCCCGGAATGATGGGCCTGGGGGCCGCTGCAGGTGTGCAGAGGGACGCTAGGGCGTGGCACACGGCAGTGTGCCTGAGGCAGGGCCTCGAGCACCGGCGTCCTGAGGGCCATGGTGGGGTGTCAGTTCCGTCAGCGCCGACACTCGCCTGCCACCAGCAGCGTTTCTGTTCGTGTCGGGCTTCTGTATTTCATGTTAACAATTTTATTGAGATTCCATTCACTTCGTCGCTTAAAGGGCACGTCTGAACGCCCTGCAGCACGCACAGGGCTGTGGAGCCATCTCCCGACCCAAGCTCAGGCCTTCACTCCCGCAAAGAAACCGCACGCTCGGCAGCGGTCACTCTCCCCTCTGCCCCTCCACACGTCCGCTGTCCACCTCCACAGGCCGGCTTGGGCATTCGTGGGAAACGGCACACACGTGCCTTTCGGGGTCGGGTTGTCTCCCACAGCACCACCTCTGGCGTGGCTAAGGCTTCTGTTTGCTCGCATGCTTCGCAGGCGGCACCCAGCCGTGCCTTCCCCTCGTGGGCACTTTCCAGGCTCGCGTGAAGGCGGCCAGGCACTGCCCCCCTGCCGGTGTCTTCCTCCGCGCACCTGCGCGCTTCTCCGAGGAAACGCACCGTCAAACGGGGTGCGAGTCTGCGCCACTCGTCGGACTTCCGGGCCCAGCCCTCTGCAGGCGGAGCGTCCAGGGGACCGCACAGCTCTGCTCCACGGGGGAGCAGACGTGGCCGAGGTGGCTCTGGACGCTGTCGCTCTCCGGTCTCGCCGCCAGTCCTTCCTCGGCCTCAGCTTGCTTGCTTGGTCTGTTGGGGGTCGTCCCTCTCGGCCCATCCTCTGGCTCCCCGCCTCCACTGCGAGGGCCTCTCTCGCCCAATCCACTCGAACAGGGCAAGCCTTTCTTGTAACTTTCCGATCACACGACGTCAGCTGCGCGCTCCTGCGTCCCGGCAGAACTCTATCCCCCGGCACCATCGCTCCCTGCTTCTCTCTCTGGTACGGGAGCAGGCCTGTCCACACCGGGTAGTGTTCTGAGTTGCCAGTGGCCCCTTCATGGGGGCGTGGGCCCGCCGCTGCAGACTCCCGCGGCTCCCGGAAGTGCCAGGTGTTTGTCTACCGTGGGGCCCTTGGCTCGCGGCCGCCTCCGTCTCTCTGAACACCAGCAGCTCGCTAGAGCGCGGAGAGTGTCCGGTGGGCCGGCGGCGGCGTTCGGCCCGTGTCCGCCCTTCGTTGCCGCTGGTGACCTGGTACCGGAGGCGCACGTCACGCAGCGCCTTCCCCGTCTGCCGCCTGACGCGGCCTCTCTCTCAACCCCGCAGGGCTCCAACCAGGTGAACGAAGCGCTCCTCCAAAGGATAAACGACGCCAAGAAGATCCACCTGGTGCCCTGCCACCTCCGAGACAAGTTCGTGCTGCGTCTCGCCATCTGCTCGCGCACCACGGAGTCTGCGCATGTGCGGCTGGCCTGGGCGCACATCCGGGAACTGGCGGGCGCCGTGCTGGAAGCCGAGCGCGCTGCCGGTGAGTGACGGCGGCCGCGTGCCTGCCTCACGTGACCGCCTCACGTGACCGCCTCACGTGACCGCAGTTGCGCTGCCACCCAATGCCCTGCGGAGGAACCGCCTCCATGTAACGTGAGGGATGCAAACCACGTCTGGAGAAGTGGAAGGGGCGAGACGTAACAGTCATGAAGCTTCGATTTCTACTTCACTTCTAAGACGTGTTTATTCGAAAGGCAGAGTTAGACACAGAGCCATCTATCCGCTGGTCACTCCCTAAGTGGCCCTAACAGGCCTGGGCCGAGCTGAAGCAGGGAGCCAGGAGCTCCCTCGGGGTCTCCCACGTGGGTCCAGGGACCCAAGCACGTGGGCCACCTTCCTCCACTTTGCCCAGGCCCTTAGCAGGGCGCTGGACCTCAGTGGGGCAGGCAGGGCTCCAGCCGGCACCGTATGGGATGCCACTGTCCCAGGTGTCACCTGCTAGGCCACAACACCAACCCCACTTTTTTATTTTTAACTTGAGACAGAGCTCAGAGCTCCCGTCTCCTGGTGCACATCCCAAATGCCTGCAACACTTGGGGGGCTGCGGCCAGGAGCTGGGAACTCAACCCAGGTCTCGTGTCTCTCCCACACGCAAGACCAAGTGCTCCCAGGGTCCGCTTTGCTGTAGACCACACTGCGATGCAGAGCACAGAACTGTGGCAGGCCGGCGGGCACTCCAGTGACGCTGCCTGCCGCCCACACCTGTGCGAACCTAAGGAACAAGCCTCACCCCCTCAGCCCATCCCTGTAGCCCACATGACCCTGTGAGACCCAGCTCAGATCCGCTCGAAACCAAGGCCCCTTTCTCCGGTCTTCGTTCCCGTGGCGTGAACTTGCCACAGACCCAAAATGCAGACATGGGGGCAGCCTTCGAAAGACACAGGGCTTACGGCAGTCAGTCACGAGGAAAGCACCTTACTCTGATTAATTAGAACGACGGAAACGTCCACACCTTGGCTTCATTCGTGTTTATCTGAGGCCATCATTGCATGCGTGCGTAGTTCCCAGGGAAGGCAGGCGCTGTCCCTGTTTTGCAGTGGGTAGGAAATTAGAGATTCCAGTTGACATGCATAAAAATGTCACTGGAGAAACCAGACTGGCAACAAACCTCCTTTCCTTGTTCCAACTTTTTTACATCACACTGCTGCCTCCTACCATGCAAAGTAGCCTACCCCTTTTCTATACTCAATTAAGGTGCATGCAAAATTCTGTTTTTGAATGTAGCCATATATTTACCCTATTTCTTTTTCCTGTAGAGACCAAAAGTTGAAGTGTGTCTGAAAACCAGAATGAGAAGAAAAAAATAAACGTAATCCCGACTGCATGAACCAGATCCCGTGTGGGTCACCTCCTTCCCCAGCTACCCAGAGCTTCGTGATGTCTGCTCTCTGTCCCATCCATGAGGAGATATCATTTGCTGTGTGAAGTTGATCCTGGTGGCTACAGCTTCTATTCACTATTTGTGATTTTGATGTCCTTGAAGCCATTGGTTGTGGCAAGAAAAGCTATTTCCCAGGACAGTGTGCTCACGTGACCCGAGTTTGGGCCTGTGATCTCTAGATTGCCTGCAGTCCTGTGCCTAAATGCTTAATAAACAGCTACAGTGCAATGACTGGATCTTCTTGTGCTGTGTTGTGTCCAAATGGTTCTTGTGTTGCAGACTTGCCACCTACGACAGACAGGGGAAGGGAAGGCTCCTGGGATATTTCTAATGGCATTCATTTGTGCACCATTTGTTTGAGTGTCTGGTATCTGTCAGGCAGTATTTTCAATGCATTAACATACACATTTTGCTTAGTTTCTAAGGAAATACATCTGGAATCAAGTGACACCCAGATCCAAGCAATGAGACCAAGTTCTCCTGCTGTGATGGGAGATCTGACTTTCTGGGCCTTGGTCACCTAGACTGCCCTATGGTGTCATGGCCAATAAACAACTGGAGTGTTCCCATGGATTCCAGTGAGGATGTGGCATTTTTTCCAACAACATCACTCCCTGTATTAGCTCCTTGCCTCTGTAATGCAATCCCCAAGGCAGCCGCTTTACAGGGGAAAAGCTTGATTTTGGCCCAGGGCTCGACTGGTTCAGCCTCTGGTGAAAGAGTTCTCGTTGGCAGAGCTGTGAAGTGGTGCAAGACATCACACAGCAACAAGACAGGATGTGCTTGTCCACATCGGTGTCTACGTGGTCTCTTAGGAAGCCACCAAGATCTCATCATGGGGGCTCCACACCAAGGACCCAATCCAATCACCACCCAAAGGCTCTGTCTTCAAACACCATAACTGGATGACGTTTCCAGCCTCTTAGTGCCATTAACCTAAGACCTTGGGGACCAAACACCACCCAACGATAGGAATAGGAGGTTGTATTTCCTTCTGGTTTATTTAACAAAAACGTAACTACGGCATTGTTCTGTGATAGTCTTAAATTTTCATTTAATTCTTACTTTGCAGAGACTACTGCTGGCAAGGGAGCTAGGTGGTGCTGTGATGGCCCCTGGTATCTTCTGAGTAAGCACCTCAACCCTGCTGTTGAAAAAGAACCAGCTAGATCTGAATGCAAATAGCAGTTGATAGAAGGGATGTAACTTGTGATCCTATTACTCCTCCTCCGTACAGTCCTGCAAACAGCAACAATCCCTGAAACCAGAGAATCCTGTTCAGGCTGACACATTCCAACCCCAGAAGGTGCCTGGAGAAAAAGAGGAGGAGAAGGGGCTGTCACCAGCTGGTCCCTTCCTAAGGGCAGAGTCCAAAGGGAATCAAGAGGGAAGACTAAGGGAAGGCGGCTTTGAATAACAAACTCCACACTGCTATGGGGATAAGGGTCCCCGAATTATGCCCTGGGGACCGAGACCCCCAGCTAGACTTAAACTAGCTCCTTGCCGTCCCACGTGTGATAATACAACCAGGAGATGTAGACACAGGTGGACAGAAAAGCAGGATTCACTGAAAGACAAGAAGACAGTACACAAGCACACCTGAGTGCAGGCATCCAGAGAGAACTGCCCCACCCAGGCCGGCTCCTCCTCATGTATGAGGGGAGGTTCCAGGGCAGGCCTGAGGAGCATCTGAAGGAGGCAGGCTTTGGGTGAGGCCGCAGGAAGGCATCAGGCCGTCTGGTGCCTGAGTGGAAGTGAGGCTCAGCTGCCCAAGAGGTGTGCTGAGTCTAACCAGGCACAGGTGATGGGATCTGGGCTACACACAGGGGTTAGGTGTGGCTGTCCTTAGCTTAGTTCCTCACTGACTTCCTGCCCAACTCATACCAGTACCTGTGGCCCGGACTGGGAATCCAGCAGAGGTGGCAGATTAGAAACTGATATTTATCACAGGGAGCCTATATTTAAGGAAACCTATGGAGAATGGCTAAAGGTTTTTTTGATCTTTTACTGCTTTTCTGAATTACATAAATCCCAGATGTAAAACATTTGGATTTTTTTTTTTTTTGCTTTTTTTGCTTTTGTTACTGTGTTTCTTGTCAAAATCTATTTTCTCAGCACCTCTGTGTTACCTGTCAGGACCTACCCTTGTAATAAACAGAAGGCAAGAAAGTACTGTGAGAAGAAGCTTGTCAATCACAAATAAAATCAAGCTTGTTGGGAATAGAGAATATTACATTTATGTGGGAATAATTACGATTGCAATTGGGATAAACCATTCAAGCAGCTGAGCATGCATTTACAAAAGGGTGGCCACACTGAAGGAGTCAAGTCACAAGGGGGTGGTGGCACTCACATCACTTGCTCATCGGGAGTTGTGATTGGCACTGACAAGAGTCAGTCTATCTCCTCAGAAGGAACTGAGGGTGGTAATTCAGGGAAGCAGGGGTGTATGAGAGAAATCACAGGGACACCACATGGAGTGGCACTCACGTGCCTCACCAGGAATAAAACCTGTGTTGTCACAACTTTCCAGATAGAAAGCTCAGAGACACTTAGGGGTCTATTCCTAAATACGGAACTCCGTACTTGACCTACTCCGGCCTTGCAGGTGCGTCTGTTGCACCTCGCCCCTTCTAGCATTCTGTGCGGACCAAGCCTTGCAGCAGTGCCACCACCACTGCCTGCTGCCCGGGTCTGCAGTCCCATGTGAGCTGCCCTAGGGAACACATATTCCCATATGGAACTTCCTTTCTGCTTAGTTGGGTAGGGGATGCTCCACCTCACCTACATGCAGGCACAGGGCTTTTACAAATGGTTTACAGTGAGCTGTCCCTCAGCCCAGGCCTCAGCACCTGCAGTGGGTGTGCCTGCAGCCTGGTTCGCGAGTGCAGCTGCTGGTGCAGTCTCCACTCTAAGTATCTTTAGCCAATGCCACTCCACTTTTTCTTCCTGACAAAGAACTTGCATAAACAGGGGAAAACTGGAACTCCCATCTTGGAGAAACTTGGGTGGAGGTTCTCAAAGCAGAGATGTGTATTAGGAGGTTGAGGAAAGAGAAAAAAGGAGGAAAGGAAGTGTGGGGAGCAAACCGGACTAGACTGAGTTACTGGAATTAAGACTTATTGTATGCATCTGCTCTCCCACAATATGGCGCTGGGAGAGAAGTAAACAGCTTCCGCACAGCTGCCTCCAGTTCAACTAATAAACTGTAGGACTTGCTCCTGATTGGAGGAGAGCAGCGTACTCGGCGTGTGGGCAGCCGAGTTAGGATTGGCGGAGGAGGACTATAAAGGAGGAGAGAGACGGCATTCACCAGGAACATCTAAGGGGAACATCTGAAGGAATACCTGTGCAGCCCCCGAGAGAGCCGGCCGGCGTGTGCCGCTCCCCTGCGGAAGTGGGGAATGTGGCCAGGGGGAACTGCCCTTCCACGGAGGTGGAAGGGATAGTAGCCAACCCGGGAAGAACCAGCAGCAAACCCGGGGAGGGCCGAGCAGACGAAAGAACAGCGCAGGGTCCTGTGTCGTTCCTCCATGAAGAGGGGGAGCGACAAGGAAGTGGGCTGAATTCCAGGGGACCCACGGGTCCCAAAGTGTTCAAGGTCCAATCCAGACTCCACCCCTCCTAAGGGAGGTGTCCACAGGTGTCGTGAGAGGGAGTCAAGTCCCATGAGAATCTGGATGGGCCACCCAGTGAGAGGACTTGGCCAGTCTGCAAACATCACATTGACTTCAGTTTCAAAGGCTGCCCTGCAGCTCCAAACAGCAAGTGACATTCGGAGAGACAGGGCTGCTTGGTTTGTTTCAGTGGGAAGAAAAACAAAGACCAGCCCGGGAGCAGGTGCAGTGGACTTCCTGCAGGGCACCGAAGGTGAACACGGGGAAAACCGAAGGCTGGGAACAGGTTAAGAAAATTCTTCCACGGGACAAAGTGAACCGCAAACAAGGCTCCCTCGAAGCTATCCTCTACACCTGAGACGCCAGTATGTCATGAAAACGAGACAGTCTGTCTGAAAGTAGAAAAATCCCCAGCAAGGTGGGTTCCCTTTCAGTCCTCAGCCCTGCACCGGGCAGCTCCCGCGGGGCAGGCTCCGAGCTGAGGGCGCCTCAAACATCAGCTGCTCTACTGCCCGACATCCCTGGAGGCCTCTGAGCAGTGGGGCTGGACCTAAACCCTGGAGAGCCCGGCTCAGTCGCTGCAGCACCCTGGCCCGATGTTGTGAGGACACTGGGCTCGCTCACTCCCAGGGCTGCTGAATGAAGTCCATGACCCTAGAGCCTTCAACAGCAGAAATGGATCCCATCACGGTCCCAGAGGGCAGAGCCGAATAACGGGGTTGGCAGGGACAACTCGGAGTCTGGGAACACCACCCTCCTCTGCTGTGCCGGCACAGGGTCCTCGTCCCCCCTTTAGGTCCCCCTCACCCAGAGTGATGTCATCTTAGCTCCATCACATCAGCCAGGACCCTGCTTCGGAATAAGGCCACAGCACAGGTGGGGGTGGGGTGGTCAGGACTCCCACATACCTGTCTGGGGGACACACGTGAACCCCGCTGGCAGGGTGGTCCTTGAGGGAAGCGACCACGCAGACAGCCCTGCCCACCCGGCTTGCCCCACGTGAGGCGCCAGAAATCCTGCAAACCTGCAGTTTGGGACTGAGCTCCCGCACAAGGCCCTGACACAGAGACCAGACCCACAGGCACTCACGTCACGCGCCACAAGACCACCCGGGGGGGGGGGTCCTCAACCAGAACCGCTGTTCTGCGAGCGGTCAGCACGAACCCGCGGCCCCGGGCCGGTACCAGGAAGCGTCCTCTGAAGAGGGGCCGGAGGCAGCCCGAGGCTGACCCATCGGCTCTCCCTCCTCGCCAGGCGCGCAGCTGGGCCCCTAGCTCCGTGCTGCGGCGGGGGACTTCCGCGTCCAAGCACCAGATCGCTCACCAACTTCGTCTCCCACGCACCAGCTCTGCCGAGGGGCTCTGCGCCACCGCGGCGGGCGCCAGGCCTGCCCGCCCCACCCAGCCACCCTCGGCCTTGTCCGCCAGGTGGACCGGACGCGGCTCTGGCGTTCACCCTTCCTCGCTACCGCCCGAACCCGGCCGCGCGCTCCGCCCTCTAAAGGCACGGAGCCGGCCTCCCCACGGCCCGCGGAGGCGCACGGAACCCGGGCCAGGCAGGCCCCGCGGCGGGGACGCCACAGACCCTCCGCCCTCACGGGCGCGCCCCAGCCGCCCCGGCGGCCCCGCCCCGCCCCGCCGCGCCACGACGCACGCACGCACGCACGCACGCACGCACGCTCGGCGCAGGCCCGGGCGTCCCAGGGCGCAGGCGCACGCCGGGCCCCGCGCTTTTCGGAAGCGGTTGGCGTTCGCAGGCGCGCGGCTGCAGGTGGGCAGTGGCGGCCGGAGCCGGGCGGATGCCCGGGTGAGCGGGGCGGGCTCGGCGTTCGTGGGTCAGCCGGGGCGTCCGTGGGTCAGCCGGGGCCGGCGGGGTCCGGTCTGGCGGCGGTCGTGCCCTTGGCGCCCCGCTCTGCATCCTCCGTGTGAGGGGCGCTGTGAGGAGGCGACTGGAGCCGGCGGGGCGACTGGAGCCGGCGGGGCGCGGTGCGCGGGGCGCGGGGCGCGGGGCGCGGGGCGCGGGGCGCGGGGCGCGGGGCGCGGGGCGCGGGGCGCGGGGCAGGGAGGGAGGCGGCTCCGGCGCGCCTGAGCAGGGACGTGCGGGGCTCCCGGCGGGGCGAGCGTCACTAAGCCCACGCCGGAAATGCGCTGAAATCTGAAGATTCGAGTGTGGCTCGGGGTCGTAAGTAGGAAACAAGACCCCGTGAATCTGCCCCACGCGCGGCAGTCCGTAAGATGCTGAATAAAATCTCCTTCAGGTTGATGCGCGAATGAGACGCGCGTGGATTTCGCGTTCGGCTGTGCCCCGAAGCTGCGTGGCCCACCCAGGCTTTCGGACGAGGGATGCCGGCGTCGGAGCCGCGGTCGGCTGGACCCGGTGACCTGCAGTGAGAAGGCTGGTGCCTCGCGAGGAATGCGCAGTGAGCCGAGAACCAGTGCTCTGCGGATGAACAGACCCTGTCGGGGTCACGTGCGCACCTGCTACAGGTACCAGCTGATGTCCAGGGGGTCACGTGCGCACCTGCTACAGGTACCAGCTGATGTCCAGGGGGTCACGTGCGCACCTGCTGCAGGTACCAGCTGATGTCCAGGGGGTCACGTGCGCACCTGCTACAGGTACTCGCTGATGTCCAGGGGGTCACGTGCGCACCTGCTACAGGTACTAGCTGATGTCCAGGGGGTCACGTGCGCACCTGCTACAGGTACCAGCTGATGTCCAGGGGGGTCACGTACGCATCTGCTGCAGGTACTAGCTGATGTCCAGGGGGTCACGTGCGCACCTGCTGCAGGTACTAGCTGATGTCCAGGGGGTCACGTGCGCACCTGCTACAGGTACTAGCTGATGTCCAGGGGGTCATGTGCGCACCTGCTACAGGTACCAGCTGATGTCCAGGGGGTCACGTGCGCACCTGCTACAGGTACTCGCTGATGTCCAGGGGGTCACGTGCGCACCTGCTATATGTACTAGCTGATGTCCAGGGGGTCACGTGCGCACCTGCTACAGGTACCAGCTGATGTCCAGGGGGTCACGTGCGCACCTGCTACAGGTACTCGCTGATGTCCAGGGGGTCACGTGCGCACCTGCTATATGTACTAGCTGATGTCCAGGGGGTCACGTGCGCACCTGCTATATGTACTCGCTGATGTCCAGGGGGTCACGTGCGCACCTGCTGCAGGTACTCACCGATGTTGGGAGGTGTGTCCGGGCCCTGCCGGCAGGCCATGGAGTGCTGTGCACACGGGCTCCGGGTCCTGGGCTCTGGCCTGTCCCGTTCTGTCTCTGAGAGCCGGGTCTGCGAGGGGCCCTGGCCGCGTTTAACGGCGGCTATCCCAGTGCGTACGTTGCTGCAGGTACTGAAAGTGCAAATATAGTAGAAGGCAGTTCTGCTCGCAGAAGCCAGTTGTCTGCTTAGGAAGACACTTAGTACATTCTTAATCAGAACGTTTTCAAATCCAGGGTTAAAATGCAGTGCCTGTTTGCTGCTGACTCTCCCTGATTGTTAGGTCTGAGAAAGGCTAAATCGGCTTGATAATGGTTGTAGGACCAGGGCTGTGCTGATCCGTGATGGGCAAGCAGTTTTGGTTATCGGTGTCCATATTTGTGGATAATTGAATTGAAAGGAAGGACTGAGGCTTGGGAGAGGAATATTGACAGAGACGGTGAGAGGGAAGGTAGCAAAGGGGGCTTTCTGGGAACAGTGACAACCCCTGGGCCGCTGGAGAATCGCAGGACTGTGGGTGACGGAGCACAGTGGAGCCATGGGGAGGAGAGGGTGAGAAGGTTTAGGCTAAGTGTTTTTGGTGTCTGACTTCAGTATTGCATAAAAGAGATTAAAATAAGAGTTGGGGTAATGTTTGTTGTGGAATTCCAAAACCTGGGCCACTTGCCCCGTGTGCAGCCAGCTGGTCACTGAGTCAGAGCAGTGGGAGAAGTGGGTATTGATTTGCAAAGATCAGAGCAAGGCGTCAGGAGCTCTCTTGCTGAATTCCCAGATTCCCTGAGGAGTTAAGAGGAGATCTGGTAGATTGAAGTTGCGGTTGAGAGGTGTGAGTGCAGCCGCTCTGCAGGTCTCTGGTTTGGCACAGGGCTCATAGCCCTCCTGTGATTGGTCAGTGATATGGTATTCTCTGGGGAATTTTGATGATGACTCAGTCTGTAGTCTGGGGGCTACCTGCAGATGTAGGTCTTTGTTCAGGGCCTGGGACTCCTGGAAAACCCCTCCAGACAAGACTTTACCTGTAGAGAAGATAAATGACCCTCCTGAGTTTTGTGATTGGGACTTCAAGGTAATCTGTACAATTTCCTAATTTAGTGAGTTACTTTAGTAAGAGATGGAGAAGCTGGGCAAGGAAGCTTTAAGCTGAGGGAGGCAGTGTCGGGGACTGTGCCGAGTAGGACTTGGTAATGTCTGTGTCTGTATCAGAAACCGCGTACTGGGGCTTGATTTCAGCGTAGTGGGAAGGAGGGGGAACTGCTTCTCCAAAGGCGTCACTTCTATTCTTAACTGAAGTTTATAGCTTTAAGTACAATCTCAATGGGTATTAAATTTTCTTATTTTCTTTGAACAAAGATTGATGAGTGCTAGTCTGCAATATGACAGATTCTTTGCAGGGCATTATGGGAGATAAAATGCTGTGTTACATCTGTTAGTGTCTCTTGCACTAAAAGAACTTGCTGATTATGAACCTGTGCTTACAGGTAATTTGAAAGATGAAACAAAGCATTTGAATGTTTTGTTTCTATTTTATTTTGTATTCCTGGAAAACGGACGTTTTCTTACAAATTTGCTTAGAGTTGTGTCCATTCTTCACATCCCACAGCATGATGCATTTACCCACAGTTTTATTAAAATACAACTTCGTGTGAGGAAGCTTATGAAAACAACTTGAGGGAAGAAACCTAGAAAGCAGACTACTTAGCTTGTTTTATATTTCGTTAATTGGAACAGTGTTGCTTGCATGAATTTGGGAAGTTGTGAGAGATTTGGCCCATCCTGTCGCAAGTGCGTGTTTGTGAGTGGTCGTTGAAGACGTCTCATGTATCACAGCCCATCTGTGTTCTGTTTAGCTCAGTCTGTGACTTTTGGTGGTGCCATCAAGGAACATTGCATACTCGGTGAAGTGCACAGTGCCTGGAGTGGAACTGCTTGGCTTTGACTTCTGGCACCATTCGCAACTGGCTGTAAGTTCCTAAACTCTTGCCTTCATTTGTGCAACAGCCATAATAATACTTGTTTTCACATTAATTTCATATTTATCACTTGACTGGATACTCAACAATAGTTCTTCCATTTTACAGATAAGAAAACAAGCTTCAGTTACAGTAAAGAGGCTTACTTAAACCACTCATCTGCTTTCTTTTAAGAGATCAAAGTGAAGTTCTTGAACTGGTTTGGTTTGTGTAACAGTGGTTCTATTATTCTTTCATATCGCCTCTCTTTTGCTGATTAAGTTTAAATCATTTTCGTGTAAGCCATCTGAATTCAAACAATTCATAAAAGTCATTATTAATATAATGAAGACTTTATATCAGAATATCTTTGTGTCTTGAATACTTGAAATCTGTGGTTAATTAGATATTTGCCTTATTATCTGTCCTTTTAAATTTATCCTTTGTTTTTAAAAAGATTTATTTATTTATTTGAAAAGCAGAGTTACAGAGAGGCGGAGGCAGAGAGAAAGAGAGAGTGGTCTTCTATTTTCTGGTTCGATTGCTTCTCAGCCTTTTGGCTAAGATCAAATGTAGTATCTATTTTCTGGTTCACTCCTCAAATGACCACAACGGCTGGAGCTGGGCCGATCCAAAGCCAGAAGCTTCTTCTGGGTCTCCCACGTGGATGCTAAGGGCCCAAGCACTGGGTCCATCTTCTGCTGCTCTTCCAGGCACATTAGCAGGGAGCTGGATTAGAAGTGTACCAGCCTTGGGGCCGGCGCTGTGGCACAGCAGGTTAAAGCCCTGGCCTGAGGCACCAGCATCCCATGTTGGCACCAGTTCTAGTCCCGGCTGCTCCTCTTCCAATCCAGCTCTCTGCTATGGCCTGAGAAAACAGTGGAAGATGGCCCAAGTCCTTGGGCACCTGAACCCACGTGGGAGACCCGAAGGAAGCTTCTGGCTCCTGGTGCAGCTCCAGCCCTTGCAGCCATCTGGGGAATGAACCAGCAGATGGAAGACCTCTCTATCTCTGCCTCTCTCTGTAACTCTGTCTTTCAAATAAATAAAATAAATCTTTAAAAAAAAGAAAAAAAGTGTATCAGAGAGGGCTCCAACTGGTACCCATATGGGATGCCAGGGCTTTATACCATTGCAGTACCTCTAGCCCCTAAATTTATCTTATGTGTTAAAAGTCAAGGGTACTGGCCTTCATATTAGCAGAGATTTTAAAAAACTATGTTTAAAGTGTTATGTCTTTGTTTTCTTCTTGGCCCTGATTTTTTTCTTGTTTCCCATTTGTTGTAGAACTATAAAATGCAGACCTCCAGCTCTAGGTCTGTACATCTGAGTGAGTGGCAAAAGAATTATTTTGCGATTACATCTGGCACGTGTACATCTGAACAGAAGGCTGATGCCTACCGCGCACAGATCTTACGCATTCAGTATGCCTGGGCAAACTCTGAGATCTCCCAGGTCTGTGCCACCAGACTGTTCAAAAGGTATGCAGAGAAATATTCTGCAATTATTGATTCTGACAATATTAAAACTGGCTTGAATAACTATGCAGCAAGCATTTTAGCTTTGGCAAGATCTCAACAAACTGACAGTGACAAGTGGCAGTCTGGATTGTCAATAAATAATGTTTTCAAAATGAGCAGTGTACAGAAGATGATGCAAGCTGGCAAAAAATCCAAAGACTGTCTCTTAGAACCTGCGGAAGCCTCAGTAGTAATCCACAAGGGGAACCCCGTCTTAGAGCTTCCCAAATTCAGTGTTTCTGGAGGTTCTAGAGAGGGTGACCTGCTGCCTAACTCAGTGCACGATGTGGACAGGGTGCGGGACAGCCCAGAGAGCAGCCTCCTGAGGTGTCCTCCAAGTGGCCAGCCACCCGCTGTGACCAGTACCCCCGATACCTGCCCCACACTCTCAGCACCATCGGGTGAGTCGGCCACTGCCAGATTCCACACCACACCATTATTCGGAAATGTCAAAAAGGAAAACCACAGCTCTCCGAGAGCCAGTGTAGGACTAGGTGTGTTCTCATCCGATCAGTCTTGTTTTCCCTCTGGCTGTGAGAACCCACGGAAAAGGAAGGCTTTTTATGGTTCTGGCTTCATTGATGCACTTTCCAACCCAATACCAAACAGGACTTTGAGTAGAATGGAAGAAAATGGCCAAAGGGAAGAGAGCAGCCTGCCCACCTTTAAAACTGCCAAAGAACAACTGTGGGTAGATCAGCAAAAGAAGTGTCACCAGCCCCAGCGGGCGTCAGGGTCCTCATACGGTGGCGTTAAGAAGTCTCTAGGAGCTGGTCGATCCCGAGGAATATTTGGGAAGTTTGTTCCTCCTGTACCTAAGCAAGATGGGGGAGAGCAGAGTGGAGGAATGCAGTGTAATAAGCCTTGCGGGGCAGGGCCCACGGAACCCACACAGCCTGTTGATGAGCGTCTGAAGAATTTGGAGCCGAAGATGATTGAACTTATTATGAATGAGATTCTGGACCACGGGCCTCCAGTGAGTTGGGAAGATATTGCAGGAGTAGAATTTGCCAAGGCCACCATCAAGGAGATAGTTGTGTGGCCCATGCTGAGGCCAGACATCTTCACTGGGCTACGGGGACCCCCTAAAGGGATTCTGCTCTTTGGGCCTCCTGGCACAGGCAAAACTCTGATTGGCAAGTGCATCGCTAGTCAGTCTGGAGCAACGTTCTTCAGCATCTCTGCGTCGTCCTTGACTTCTAAATGGGTGGGTGAGGGGGAGAAAATGGTCCGCGCGTTGTTTGCTGTTGCGAGGTGTCAGCAGCCAGCTGTGATATTTATTGACGAAATTGATTCCCTGTTATCTCAGCGGGGGGACGGAGAGCATGAGTCTTCTAGAAGGATAAAAACCGAATTTTTGGTCCAGTTAGACGGAGCAACCACATCTTCTGAAGACCGCATTTTAGTGGTGGGAGCCACAAACCGGCCACAAGAGATCGATGAGGCTGCCCGCCGACGGTTAGTGAAGAGGCTCTACATCCCCCTCCCAGAAGCCTCGGCCAGGAGACAGATCATCGCTAATCTGATGTCCAGGGAGCAGTGTTGCCTCAGTGAGGGAGAAACGGAGCGGATCGTGCAGCAGTCTGAGGGGTTCTCCGGCGCGGACGTGACCCAGCTCTGCAGAGAAGCTTCCCTGGGCCCCATCCGCAGCTTGCAGGCGGCCGACATCACCACTATCACACCCGACCAAGTTCGACAAATAGCTTATGTTGACTTCGAAAATGCTTTTAAAACTGTGCGGCCTAGTGTGTCTGCGAAAGATTTGGAGACTTACGAAAACTGGAACAGAACTTTTGGTTGTGGAAAGTAAATGAGTCACTTGAAATTAAAAGACAGCATCATTATATTACATTCATCTTCATTTTTTAGCACAGGAAATGGAATGTGTTCATTGTATTTTTTAGGATATGTTCTGAATTCTGTACCTCAAACAGGAATAGTGAAACAGCATTGCTTATTGGTATTTAAGTAGATTTAAGATCGTACTGGCTGCTAGAGTGGATGTGTCAGTTTTTACCTTGTTCTGCTGACTTGTAACATTGTTTATGCTTTTCTTCCCTTATCAGGGCTAATGATGAAAACATGTTTCAGAAATAGCCAAGTACCATCTAGAGTCAGAGACATATCTACACAATGAGAGGGGAGTGTTGTATTTTTTGGGGGGGAAATAGTGTGTAACAATATTTTATTGCTACTTCACAGCCTATAAAATTGTACTTATTCAAAAGAGTATTTTCAGATTTTTATAATGGATCATTTTGTTCCTTGTAAAAATATTAGAAAATAGAAATAATAAAAATCACTGCATTCCTGCTGCTTTGGGGGTTGTCTGGTTAGTGCTTTAGCACAGGTTCTTCCACATACACAGGAGTGGGCCTGCCATGCATTCACTCGTGGAGCCTGCACTTTAAGTTGCTTTCCATGGTCGCTTAAATGTCTGTGACACCTTCTCACACATTGCCCAAGGTTCCATTGTGTAGATGGATTTTAATTTATTTACTCCTCTGTTAGAGGACAGGGCATTAGGTCAAACAAAAATATGTTAAATGCCATTTAATGAGCCTTTTTATAAAATGTGTAAGTTTTTCAGAAAAAAAATCTTGGGCTTAGTACTAGGCACATTTTTACACCTTTTGTTCTCTAGAAAAGTAGTACCCGTGTAGACTTTCCATCTGCCCTGAACGAAAGGGATCACATAACTGTTCCATGATAGCACTGACTGGACGGTTCTGGGTCTGGTTGGCATTCTTTTTGAACCGATTCATTCACAAAGTGAGTAACGGTGTTCCGGTTGCTAACGCAGAGCAGCAGCCAACAGACAGAGCCTTGGTCTCATGCAGGCTGCATTCGGGCTCAAACATTTTCTCTGGACAGTGCCAGCTGATGTGGACTTCGAAACGTTTAGTGGGTAATGCTTTCCCATGGAAATACGTGATATTGTTTATAGAATTTGGATTTTAACACTATCTTTAGTTAATTCTTTTAACATTGTAAAACATATCACAATATTCGTTATTGCCTTTGTCCTTTTCTGTGTCTATAAAAACGACACTAAGCTCAGGTTCCAAGGTGTTGATGCCAAGTAATTCTCTAGTTTTTCTTTTCTGCTTGCATCCCATGGAGAGTGCCTGGGTTTGAGTCCTGGGTCTGCTTGCATTTGCAATTTCCCGCCAGTGCACACCCTTGGAGGCAGAGCTGATGCCTCAAGTGCTAGGGTTCCTGCCACCAAAGGCCAGTCCGGCATAGCTTGTACCCTTCAGGGTTGATGTGTTAGTTTTTTGTTACTTTAAAATGCCTGAGAGGAGCTGATACAGTTTATAGTTTTGGAGGTTCATAGTCCAAGGTCAGGCAGCCCCATTAGTCCTGGCAATGGCAAAGGGTGCATAGAGAAACAGGGGCTGGCCCCACAGTGAGCCAGGAAACAGGGAGCACTCTTCATCTTCCTTCTAGGTGAACTCCCACTAGAGCCATCATGAGTCAGCCACAGCCGCCTCAGCAGCCTAATAAATCCACTTCTTTCCCAAAGGCCTCACCTTCAGAGACATAAACGGGTCAAGCCTCCCTCAGCCATTAGCGCTTATAAGATGTGGGCACTTTCTGTATGAGTCCTGTTTAAACCATAGCACTTAACCCCGAGTCCCTGGGCAGCAGTGATGCGTAAATCGGCAGCTGATCACGTGGCCTGGCTCTTGTGTGTCCTGCGACCCGAGAAGTAGAAGGTAACTTCAGGTTGCCCCACCACACAGGAGCACAAGGGCTTGTGAAGCAGGGAAAGCTTCCACAAGGTCTCAAGTTGTAACTTGTTACCTGCTTCATTTTTCTAAAGTCAGTTTCCCGCTAACAGGTACACAGAGGAGTCCATGTGTGAGCGTTGGAGAGAGGCCTCTGGGAGCTGACCCCTGCCCCTCCCAACAGTCGGCAGAGACCTGAGTCCTACAACTGCATGGCACTGAATTCTGCCGGCAACCTGAAAAAACTCAGCCCAGGAAGACACAAATGGCCACAAGTGCAAGGCAGCCACTGCATCAGGTGTTTATGGCTGTGTGGCAGAATTTCCAGGCACTTGGCGACTTACAGCAGCACACCTGAATGATCTGGGCTCTGCGGGTGGGCTCAGCCACAGCCCTGCTCCAGGGCTTCCAATGAAGGTGTGACCAGTGCTGCCGTCTGGCAGGATCTGCCAAGCTCACCAGAGATCAGCCACATTCGGGTTCATACGGGTGGCTGGACCCAAGTAGTTTCCTGCAGTCTGTTGGCTGGAGGTCGCCTCGTTCTGTACCATGTGCTTCCCAATGTGGCTGCTTCCCCAGAGCCAGCAAGGGAACACGGATGGTGCCATCGGCAAGGCAGTCACGACTGGCCATCATACCTGGCTGTGCTGCAAGCCAGCTGCCCTTCCCACACCTGGGGATGGTAAGAGGCACAGAAGGAGCCAGGACGTGGAGCGTGCCTCACAGTCTGTCCTCGACAGCCACAGGCTGGAGGAGCGACTGAGGCAGGAGAGACCTTGGGTCACAAAATGGCAAATCTTAGAGCGAGGACTGAGCTTGAGAATGGAAGCGGGTGGCAACAAATTAGTTAATGGGGGAATAAGATGTGGACCGGCTTGAGAACCCTGAGCAGAAAGATGAGGAGGTGGAGATGGGGAGTGGTGTGAAAAGTGTTTCTGTAAGGTCTTGTCCACGTAACGAGAATCCTGTGGAGAAGGAGAGGGAGCCAGCAGTGTCATGAATGAGAACGGGGTTTCCTGAGCACAACACGTGGGGACGCCATCAGACTTCACCGTGTGCAGAAGGAACTGGAGACGGGAGACTTCTGACCTGAGGAGAGAGAAGTGGAGACACCGAGAAAGAGGTACGAAGACTGAGTTGGTGTCACCAGCGTCAGCATCAAATACTAGAAAGTAACAGGGCAGTGCTACAAGGTGCCTGGGACAAATGACTTTTAGGTTAAAATTGTAGATCCAAAATAGCAAATAACGTGGACCCCCAAACTTACCAGTTAAACATTCTTTATGAGAAAGAGGAAAAGACCTCTCAAGATTGACCCAGCTCAATGTAAAATGAGGGTAGAGAAATCAACAAAGAAAGATGGAGAACATAAACAGCTGTGAGCAAGAGCCGAGGAGCCTCACGGCTAAACCCAGGCATTGTTGACCACGTGGGGTCCAGTGAAACTCGAGCAGAGCTCCTAAGATAAAAGCAGGACGTTGCACGTAGCCCCTTGCTAACGTTCCAGGTGATTTCGGCAACAACTTCCTATGGTGATGCTGGGGGCTGGAGGAGGTTGAGATATATTTTGGTGAAGTCTTGTGTAGGACACACAGGCTTAGGGCCAGACCGGGAGCCCTGGAGCTGAGAGGTGGAGGCACTTGGGGAGGGAGTCCTGTGTGGTAAGGTGGGTCGGCTCTGACCACAAAACAGCAGGGCTGGAATGGAGCCAGCAAGGCCACGGCAAGACACTGCTGCAGCCACGGGCTTTAGGCACTAAACTGTCCAGGGAGTGAGAAACGAAACCACAGGAGCACGGTGCCTTTGTAAAAGGATGCTGTCCAGAAACTTGAATGTTACTTTCATAGAGAACAAAGGAACAGGATTTTAGATTAATGTATTAATAATTACGTATTATTATCAATAATATTAATAGAGCATGAGGAGTAGTTGAGTGTAGGTTGCTACAGAACTACGAAGGCTCCAGGCATTTAGAATATAGGAGTGATCACAGTGCACAAAGTAAATCCAGAGTCGGAACCTCAGCCTCTGGTCTCTTCTGGACCACAGGATGAATTTAGGATGCCAGGAAAGCGACCTCACCGTGCACTTGGCGTTAGAGAGGACACTCCTGTGTTTTCAGGGAATTGCTGCCAGGATCCGGAACCACGCCAGTGTGGGGCTGTCACAGATGTCGTCAAGACAGAGCTGTTGCAGGGCCAATAAAACAAGACCCCAAGTCAACTCCGCAGAATCAATACTGCCAGCCACAGCCAGGAGTGCTCCCTAAACTGCCACCTTCGCCAGGGCATTGTTGGCAACTCCGGGGAATCGGTGTCGCCAGCTTTTCTTTGTGTGAGTGGGACGTAATTCTAAGATTTCTGGTAGCCACATTTTAAAAAGCCGAAAGAACCAGGTGAGGAGGCTGGCGTCGTGGCATAGCAGGTAAAGCTGCCACTTGCGACGCCGGCATCCAATATGGGTTCTGGTTCAGGCCTTGACAGCCCTGCTTCCTCTCCAGCTCCCTGCTAATGGCCTGGGAAAGCAGCGGAGGACGGCCCGGTCACTTAGGCTGCTGCATCCACGAGGACACGGGTGGAGCTCCTGGCTCCTGGCTCGGCCTAGGCCAGCCCTGGCCATTGCAGCCATCAGGGGTGAACCAGCAGGAGGAAGATCTCTGTCTCCCTCTTTGTGTAACTCCGACTTTCAAATAGATAAATAAATCTTTAAAAAAGAATCAGGTGAAATCAGCATCCATTATTATTTCAATGTTTAATATGAAGGCATGTCAAGAAGTTCATGGAGAGGAATTAAATGATATTTATTTTGGTATGAAATTTTTTAAAGATTTATTTATTTACTTGAAAGAGCTACAGAGAGAGAGAAGGAGAGGCAGAGAGAGAGAGAGAGAGAGAGAGAGAGAGAGATCTTCCATCTGCTGATAAACTCCCCAGACGGCTGCAAAAGCCGGAGCTACACCAATCAGGAGCCAGGAGCTTCTTCCGGGTCTCCCACACGGGTGCAGGGGCCCAAGGACTTGGGCCATCTTCCACTGCTTTCCCAGGCCATAGCAGAGAGCTGGATTGGAAGAGGAGCAGACATGTTCTCTTTATAAAATAAAACCGGAATGCTGAAAATGAAGGAACAGACGGGAACAGGAAGTGCAAATGATGAGCAGGAGGAGGAAAAAAAAGGAAGGGGATCCAGGAGATTGCACTCAGCTGGATTCAGGAAAATAACTGTTGCTGACCGCAGTCGCTGCCCGGTACACCAGCCAGGAACCTTCACACACAGACCCAGGCGGGATTCTCGGCTCCAGGCAGTGTGAGCCTTCGGGTGCAAGTCCCTCCCTCCCTCCCTCCCTCCCTTTATTTCTTTTCCTCTCTCCCTCTCTGCCACTCAGAGTTGAAAAGTGAAATATGACATTTTAGAAATTTCTAAAATACTGGCATACAATTTGCAGATGTTGGTATTATCCATTGTTCTTTGGGTTTGGTGAGTCTAGCACAGGTGCGTGCTGTTGGGAGACAGTGTGTGTATATCCCATCTTTGTCCAGCAAATATGATTCCTCTTCTAGGCACACACACCACAGAATAAATGCATT